GCAGTAGAATTAACGAAAACAAAAACCTTTTAAAATAGTTGAAACTTGTTTTGGAACTCGGTAAAACTTGAAATGGGCTGTAGCGACTTATCCCATAAGGCGGTGCCAACATAGAGCGCGTGCTGATCAAGAACGACTGTCGATACTTGATCTGAATTTATCAAGCAGACGATCTGCGGGAGTGGTGACGTCACGGATACTTTGGCTTATTAGATCAGTTGCATTGATGGAGGTAAAGTGAGATTGACATACGTTACTAAAATGGATGAATATTCAATTATAATCTTTGTTAATGGTGTATAGATTACCATGGTGACAAGCTTGTTCTTTACCTGTGTAGGGGATAGTAATGAGTTATTGGCGAGCGGCTAGTAATCTCGTTATACTGAAGGTATCCAGCTGATTTTGGACAATTGGTTCTTCCAGAGAGACCTCCAATTGCTTGTCTATCAAACCCAAATTCATATGTCCCCAACGGTTACAAGAAATTTGTTTCGCTTTAGAATTCCTACTTATTGATCGATAGGTAGACAATTGAAGAAGATAACATAATCAAGCTTTAATGTCAAAACAAGTTACTTTTAATATGGTGACTAGTTACGGCCGATAGATTCTTAATTTTAACAAAATAAATATAGATATTGAATGATTATTATACGGCTACGCCAATCAAATCATTTCACCTGTCAGTCTATGATCTAAGAAAGAGATAGATATACGTGGATCTGTACCCTTAATATATCTCAATCTAATTTCAACTAAATAGTTATCTGAAAGTTTTCCGAAAACAACATTACTGATTGTCGTACATCAAAATTTCATTTAGTGCTCTGTTTCTATATCGATCTAACTTATGTCCATACAAAGATGTGGCAAAAACTGCTTCGGATAAAACACGAAATCTGAGCGTACCTTGGTAGTTTCAATTCAGCAGAACTGATTATATTGGAACTGCCCGTCATATTAACGTTCTTTGTAGTCCCGATTGTCATGTATACTTTATGTTTATTTTTGGACCAGAAACTGGTCCCAGAGCACTATCCATCTTGTTGCTGTTCTTGTGAGAGACGCTCTCCGCTAATTCATGTACGATCTACATAAAACTTGACATGCTTGTTTCTTGGACAATTGCGCATCGAATTATAATGGAACTCCATAATGCTAAGTGAGCAATATGTATAACTCAAAAGTAGACCTAGCATCTACAGTGGCGGATCCAGAATATTTAAGGGTCGGATGGAGTCCAGAAATTTCAGATCTCTATATTGAAGTGTTGTAGTAATAATTCGCGTGTGCCGAAGATGCGAAAAGCACACGGCGGGGGAGGGGTGGCTATCCTAGAAAATTTGGAAAAGAGAAATGCTGGAGATGCCAATTCCGATTATTTCGGAACCCGGATCCCCTATATTGAGCCTGAGCGTCTGGACTCCATGCCCCCCTCCCCCCGGATCTGCGACTGAGTTGTCCGTAATTTAAAATGACCAGCTACGGGGCCTACTATCAGTTAATCCTTATTCTTCCCGTCTTCCTAAAACGACTTTTATTCTATTCCGTGCCACGTGCTTCAATTAAAGATGAGTTGTTTCCCCGGGGTTCATCAGACCATTCATTCAAATGTAACTGATTTTGATCGGAAGATATGCTTCTAATGCACAGGTGAATTAAAATGCAAATGATCTTACACAGAAATATACATTAGTTACCAAATATGGAATATGTAATAATAAACTAATTTTATAAGCGATTTAGATAAATTCAAGTCCGCATCTTGGTCTTTGAAGTGGAGGAGGTATCATGGGACTACTAGTAAAATAAGCAAGGCCTATAGTTAAAAGTCACGGAACCGGTATTATGTGAAATATATAGTGAGCACAGACTTTAGTAAATAAAAATAGTGATATAGAAAATAAACTGAGAATAACGCGTAACGCGTACAATTTTATTACTGTACAAAAGTATACAATATTATATGAACTTATACTCAACGAATTCGTGATGCATATTGGCCGAAAAACGATACATACAAATACAGAAATGAACAATTTTTGTTGAAACTGATCTAATGTAATGATTAATTTCATGTTGAAAAAATATCACAAAGAAAAACAATACGAATTTTTACGCACGAAGCCCTATTCTAGACAGTTTCATATGTGTTTGTCGCAAGGGTCGACCGACCATTCAAAACTGTTCCCGTGAATTAAAATTATTTCCGAAGACTAATAATTTCATAACAAAAATAAAATCGCTAAAAGCACCCCAACATTTTTTTAATATCAGTTGATATTTTACACTAACAAAGATAAGGACGCTGGTATTTCGACAGTATGGAAAGCTTTCGAGCGAAACCCCGTGCTACCCAGACCCAACTCTGGGAAATTTGTCTGAAAAGCACCGATTTTACTTTACACAAAAGGACATCAGGCCCGTAGCTAGTCCCAAAATGTTAGGGGGCAAGGGCTTCTGAGGGCGCAGATGTACCTATACATTTGACGGTCCACGGCGAACGGCGCCGTAGACGCGCCTCCTTTCGGAAAAGGGTCTAGGGTGATCTCCCCCGATAAAATTTTGGAAAATAGGGTTTGCACTAGAGGAGAGGAACTATGAAAATGATGCAACATTTCAATTTTGAGGCTGAACTTGCGATATTGGCGTGTTATGATATTTTGATATGAACATAATAATTTATGAAAAAAACGAAAAGTTCGGAATCGGTTTAGGGTGCGACTTGTTTGAATTTTGAAAATTTTCACGCCTGGTGCGGGCTTGAATCAATCTCATCCCCATCGTGATTTTGACCTGGAAAATTTCTTACAATCTCCAATTGGCTTTCTTAATGCTTATGGTAGATTTCTTAGGGCGTCAGTATGCGGTCGGTTTCTTGGTTGGGCGCCCATGATCTCGTCGTGCACGGCCCACCAATCCCGGCATGGTTTGAGGCACCCAACAAATCATGCCGTTTTGAGCGCCCGATTGATCAAGTTGTGGGCGCCCAACCAATCTCACTCGGCATTATGCCGTATGTGCGGCCCGACAATCATAATATATTGTCATCATGTCATTAAGGGCGCCCCTCCGGGATGAGGCACCCAACCAATCATGCCGTTTTGAGTGACCCATTGATCAAGTCGTGAGCGCCCAACCAATCTCACTCGGCATTATGCAGTATGTGCGGCCTGACAATCATATATTGTCATCATGTCATTATGGGCGCCCCTCCGCCCTCCGGGTTAAGGCAACCCACGGATCATGTCTTGTTGCGCGCCCCATCAATCAAGTTGTGGTGTTAATCGTGTAATTCATTATGAGGCGCCTCGCCATTTGGAGGGCGCCTCATATATAGCGACATGATTGGCGAGGCGCCCATAAAATCAAGTGGGCGCCTAACCATTATCACTCGGCTTTGTGGGCACGTTGGTCATTCACGTTCGCTTCGTATTACGTCCAATGGAAAGGGCGCCGATTTTTTCTCCACGGGGAGGGGGGAGGGAGGACGCTGCCCCCCCCCCCCCACCGGTTGCTACGGCCTGTGTGTCCATTGTTGTTGTTTTATACAATTCTTATATATTTTTGTTTGAGTATAATCTATTAGAATAAACTTAGCGCAATCTGTGGAGAGAGGACAACGGCTAAAACCGGTCGCCACATACGGCGTATAACCCATGCATCGTGTCTTACTACATATTTTGGAACAGCCCTTGATCGTCTAGTATTGTCTCTGGTTATATTTGTTTCTTAATTTCTGCCACTTATTCAGTCTATGGTTACACACAGGAAAAACCATACCACATTTCGTTTCTACATTATATATTATATACAGTAGCGGATTATCAGTGAGGCTGATGAGGCTGCAGCCTCAGGCCCAAAGATTTTGTAAAAAAAATAATTTTAGACTTGTCTGATACGATTAAAAAGGCATAGACAATGAATGTTAGGGGGGTGGGGTTTAGGCCCAACGGGAATCAACATAGGCCCTGACCCGAAATTAATTAGACCCACGCCATTTTAAATAGGCCCTATTGTTTGGAGATCTGATCTTATTTTTAAACGTAGGCCTACAATGTACGTTAAATCCTTGTAAGTTTTCGGTTATGTCTTGCTTAATATATTGTATCCACGTGACGTCATGTATGGGCATATAAAGTTACATTACGTTTTTAATGTTAGCAACTGCCTTGGCTCTAACTTTTAAAAACTAAATATTCCCTCCATCAACTGTCGCCTTAGGCCTTGGTGGAGCTTAATCCGCCACTGATTATATATATAACTGGTGTGAGTGTGATGGGACTTCAGTCCGGCAAAACATGATTTGACATTCTTTTTTAAAACTCGAGCTATTTTAACACTATTCGAGCGGTGGCCATGCAATTTAGATTAAGTCGTCAAACATCCATATTGGCCCTGCATATTGTACAATACTTTTTTTTAATTATTCCACTTTAAATAGTGTACATGTGTTTGTTTTTTTGGGGACACTGACATATTTTTTCATCGTATTCTCTAGTATATTAGTAAGTGTAGGAAGACCACATTAAACACAAGACAAAGTCGACAAGACAAACCTGACAAAAGACAAAGGTTTAAAGTAAAACAATACACACTATATATGTCATTTAAACATGATGGTGTGAGATAAACTAAACAATAATAAACATGAATATTTTATTGTTCATTAACTATCCTATAGAAAATAACCAAGTTGATATTATAAACACTGATAATTCATTATCATCATAAATCAATGACCAAGTTTTTTGTATAGATATTGATAAGTTACTGCACTTTATTCCAAACAATAGTTGTAATAAAATATAGGTGGACCATTATATTACAACCTACATGTACAAACAACCAGCCTATTTACCATTCTCTTTCTGGTGTTGACTTAGATATTGAGGGTTTTTTTCAGGGATACAAGGATCACTGATTAATTAACCCTTTTGACAAAAATTGCAAAGAAAAGACAAACCCTCAGGTGAAAAACAGAAGTAAACAAAGCATTCATTATAAACATTTTATTATCTTTTTGTCCAATATACAAATCTTATGTTAGCCAGTATAAAAGTATTATACACTGTAAGAGATTAGTACAGAAACTGATTTGTTTTATCTATTTCATACAAGCACAAGATTTATAATAAGCCTACAGCTATTTTTCAGGATTTTCATATAACAAGTAAACAAATATTTATTTCAAAATAATTATCATAAAAATAGGTTGCGATGCAACAAAACATGTGCCCACAAGCAGCCAAGTCATTTGAGGGGCAGTCACATGTTTATTTTATAGGTAATGTGAGCATTTATTTACAGTACACTAAAAACTGATCAAGGACAACAACACAAGAAATAATTACCAGAAATAATTGAAGTTTTATAGGCTGCTAGTTCTTGCTAGAACTGACAGAAATTAGGCTTGTATTGTGAACAAAAAACCTGTCTATCAATTTCAAATTGAGTGATAACTTGGGTAACTTTTGTACTGACGCTGTACGACGGACAATGTGACGATAATATATAACCAAATTTCTATGTGGGCATATATCAAACTTTAGAATTTTATTTAATTGTAATTTAGATCAATAATAGTATAAGATATACTGCTTTCACTAGCGATTGACTATATGACAAATATCTGACCTCTCATGTACCCTATGACAAAAAAAAACAAATAAAAAAACGATCTGAAACATTCATGAAATATATATTTAACATGTCACACACATCAATTCAAAATAGAAGAAATCGTAATACTCAGATAAACAGTAGCTCTTAATCTAGAATAAAATCCATATGTTAATTCTATTTTACTTATATAATTTAATTCCCATTATGTGTGTGGTGTGTGTCATTTGTGATTAAGATGTTACTTGTGTGATAAATGTTATTTGTGTGATATATCTTGCGTGATGAATCCTTGCCATGTGGTTAAATATTGAATCATAAAATCATCCAGATACTTGTAATATTTTATTGAGTGAATTTCTCTTTTTCCTTGATGCCTAATTTTTAGTTACTGTTTCATATATTTTCCTTTTAGAAGCAATTAAGCATATTTTGGCAAAAGGAAAATATTTAAATATTAACAGTAATACTGTTACTCAAGTCTGTATCAATTTATAGAACACATACAAAGGGATATAACTCTAAGAGTTCAAGTAAAATAAAGAATCAATGTTTGCAATTAGGATATTAAAAAGTTGATCTGTGTATGTTATTTTTCCCCAAAAAAAGGTTTAATAGACTAATTCTTAGTGATAAAACAATATTTCAAACACAATCCTCAGCTGGGACAATTCTACGGAATACAATTACTGTTTATTACTGAGCGATATAATGCTTGATAAACACCAGAGAATTTGGATTGAAATGTTGCTTAGTAATAAATAATAATTAATGTACTGTATTCCATAGACTTATGTCCAGTGTATATCCAGTTTAATAACTAAATGCCATTGTAACAGTACATGACTCAGTATGAGCTTATTTTTATATTTTTAAAACAATCTATCTCTAATACTCTCTTTAAATGCACTGTTATTTTAAAGGTGTCGATTTTAAAAATATATTGTTTTTATTTATTAAAATTGAACATTGGCTATTTTACACAAAGCTTTAGAAAACATATATAAGAAAATCACTGACATACATGAACAATATATACTATATAAGGCATGATTTGTACGTTCTAAAAATTGTCCTTTTAAATTTGTCACAAAAACACAATTTATTAAAATATCTAACATAAAAAAAAAACATTGCACAATAATTATAATAATAAATGGACGATGGCTTACTTAAACTTATATAATTTATTTATTTCACAACATTTCTCAGAGTAAAAATGTACAGAATTAATTTCAAGATAATTTTTACTTTTTTTTGTGTCCATTGCAAAAAAAATCCAAATTTTAAATTGCAAATAAATTAATGTTTTGGTTTTCTGTTATAATGTTCCAATTACGAAAATGTATGGTAATCAATATTTCTAATGGATGTGGCCTATGAATTGGTCATCAGAAAATATGTAAATCTGTATTGACCATATTCAAAATTAATTAACAGTTAACAATAGTAATAAATACAATATATTAAGTTAAGATAACTATACATAAAGCACTAACCGAGCACTAGAATCTAGTGTTTATATAATATTATAGTCTTCTTCATATTTACATCATTTATCACAGCATAATGATATGTAAAGGCTTCATTAATGACAGCGATTGTTACACAATTTAAATTAAAAAAAGCATAAACAATACTTAAATTAGAAGTACAACATTACTGATTTCTATAAAACAAGAAAGAACTTATCAAAATAACATTAAAAGAAACAATTAAAATGTTAAAAGATAAACAATTTGTATCAAATATATGTGGGTAATTGAATAAAAGTTCCATTGTTGCGACCTTACAGTTTAAAGCGTGGTCTTCTTTGATTTGTCATCGTCAAGGTATACAATGTTACTACGACGATGTGCTTTGTACAGTGAACGGGGTAACTTGAAACATAAAACATCTATTACAAACACGCACAGGCTTTATATGACCAAAGTGGGGTAAAGGCACTGAATTAGCAGAACAACGTCCACAGAAAATCTGAAAAAGAACACAAATTTCATAAAATAACCCAGCTTGATAACTGTGAGAGTATCCTCATTGAAACATTACAGTTAATAAACTTAGTGAATGTTATTCATAAAGCTGTCAGTATCATTAAATAACTCAGCTTTGACAACCCCTTACAGAAAATATAGCATGGTATTGGGATTTCGTCTTTATACCAATATTGTGATTCCACATATAAATGTACAGCTTATTTGACATTCTGGAGACACAGAAATAGAAATTCTAGTATTAAAGATTAAATATAGATATACTTACTTTACCACAATTTCTACAATGGTGTCTTCGTCTAACAAACGTGAAGGGAATTTTACATGCAAGACAATGTAAACTGAGATCATCTGGCATCCATCTTGGGGGATCTATAAAATAAAACATTCCTATAATTAAAGGCTCAATACCACTCTTGTTGTAACAGAATTATATGTCCCAATCTTTATTCTGGTCAACAAATTGTACTATTTTACAGTATTTCAATTAATTGATGATACAAATTTCATCTTAACACACCTAATTTAAAAAATTTAAAAAATTCAACTAAATGATTTGAAAAGCCTAATGTAAAACTTTTCAAATGTGACTTGGATTTAAAAATATTTCGAACTCTCTGGACAAGTAAAATAGGATGTGATGGATAATTTACACAACAGGTAGGACACTTAAACATCTAATACTTAGAATAAGGCTAATATTTATTTACTGGAGCTGTCAAGCCAGCAAGAGTGTTATTGTCCCTTTTAACAAGTGTATACTTTTGAGAACAGTGTTGTACATACATCAGAACCCTACAGAGGTCAGTTTGAGAATAGAATACAGTGGTATTTTCTCCTTAAAATTCTAACTATCAGAAAATATTTTACATACGGTATATTTTTGTCAAACACTGACATGTGGGAACCAGATTTGAAATTTTAAATAGAAATCATATATATGCAAAAATATTTTTTTTAAATTTGAGACCAAAACAATTATAAAGAAAATACTAGCCTTGCATTCGCCTTCGTCGTCTGTAGTGGTTTATACGTCTAGAACTAGTTGTACGTGGTTGTCGGTTGATACTAGTTTCTGCATCATTACTACTTGGTGGTGTAATAATTTCTGATTTACTTGTTGTATCAAAACTCATCAATGGTTCGGAACAATTCATATCAAAAACAGCTCGTAAAATATTCCGTAGATCACTAGCAAAGTTGGTTTGAAGTTGATCAGCCACACCTTTAAGAGAAATATTTGATTAATTCAATAGCCTGATAAAAAGTTTCTTCTTAAAAAGATCAGTCAGCTTTTGCCTATTCCGACTTGCCATTCCATAAAAGTAGTACTTTTACTGCTAATAACTGTGTAAATCCCCCTTCTCATCCATTTGGTGATGCCGCTGATCAGGTAACTACATGAACTTTCTTTTTTTCGATTTAATGCTACATTCATTTCTTGCTTTAATTTGATTTCCATTTTATATACATGTCAATTATCAAAATGAAATCTTGTTTGATTAAACAGTGAGTTGATATAAATTTTACCTGATATACAAACAAATAGTCTGTGAATCATATCACTACTACTTCTAAATCTAGATCTAGCTTCGTTTCTAGATGCTGTTTCAGCAGCTTGGACAGCTAAAGCTATTTCTTCATCATCATTACAATCAGATGTATAGGAACTGGTATCGCTACTCGCACAACTAAAACACCAAAACAATGTACACTATGTTTCAATTTCTATACAGTATTTAAAACAGTATTATTTATGAAATGCACATGTATTATACCAGCTGTGATTTCTAATAACACATACCTAAGCTGGAAGCCTGCAATAAAGTCCATTCCAATTCAAAGCCCCAAAATACAAAGGGTGTTATAGAGGGGACCTTACAAAATAACTGGTATATCTATCATGCCAAAGGAACCAAAGGCCTTGCGACTTATGTTCCTGCTAGCACCAAGAATACAGTACATCCAAATCAATGCACTGAGAAAATTAAGTTAATAAGATTCAAATTTCACAAGAGAGGACTCAACAATAATCAGGTCATATAAAGACTCTAATATATCATATTTTTATTTTCAATAATTTGCTTGTGTGCAGGGGTTTATAGTAGGAGAAAACTTATGTGGTTAGGCAGGCAACCCTACTCCTTGAAGGGATAACAGGCTAATCTGGCTAGGTGATCTGCAGTACAAATGTTAGAGACCTTATTGCATTCATCTCATGAGCAAAATAGCCATCTAAAATCCCTTCTCTTCGAATCACAAGTTAAACAGGGGTAAAACTGCTAATAAAGAAACAGAAAATATCTGAAAAAGAATCTAATAAAATTATGTACCTTTCTTTATCACACTCATATTCAATACTTGAAGCTCTACTTTGACATGTTGAACAATTAGAATTCCAGCTCTCGGTGTATCTTAATCTTTGTATTCTGGGTACGGTTAAACACGTTTTGCACACCCTTTCGTCACTTTCATTAGAACCACTTTTACTGTTAATATTTAAGCGTTCAAATGGACTTGAGTTTTGACGCTGTCGTCGGCCATTTTTTGATTTAAATTTTTTGGTTTGACCGTCTGGTTTGGGTACGACAACTGGCTCAACGTATGTCGTGTCATTTTCAATATTCAAAGAAGATTCATTATCGCTTCCCGAAATAGAATCGGTTAAATCTGATCGGTGAGATTGGGTATCACTATTTACTGTTCTACAGGCACCATCAGTATCAGTCTCAGTTACACTTGGCACGGAAGACTGATTGTCACGTGAGCAAATTTCACAGTTTTCTTCAGCATATGATACAAACTGACTGTCATTTTGACAAATTGAGCAAACAGATTCTAGAATTTCATCAAGTATTTCTGCACACAATTGTCCGATTTCTTCCGTAAAGATCTCATTAAACACTTCAGTTGCTGCCTTACTTTCCTTTAATTTATCACAGGCTGGACTGGTTAATTCCTTCTCTAAACTGAACCCTATTGGAGTTGCTTCCCCTTCGCTTAATGGAGACAATTCAGCAGTGCTAAGTGTATTTTGAGAGTCACTTGAGGACACAGTGTAAAGGCTCTCTGAATTACTTGTATTTTCACTGTGAAGTCCTGAATCATTGCTATCACATTTTTTCAAAGAACCCGAGAGGGTTTCGTTCAATTCGTCAACTTGTTTTTCTATTCGAGTGGATGTCGGTATATCATCGTAGGAGCTGGTTGTAGCAATCTGCTCACCACCATTGTGTAAGTTGCCACTCTCTTCACTGCTATTGCTTTGAGAATCGACAGAGGTGTAAGGATTTTCTAGGGCATCATGAAAACTAATCTCGGAAGAGATGACGGAACTACAAATACGATTTTCTCCATCAAAATCTGTTTGACAAGAATTACCTACAGAATCACTTGTTAGAAAAAAATGATCTTCTGTACTACATAAAGATTTTTCTAAACTATCAAGTTCTTCATCAGTAAGCGTCATCAAGAGTTCTCTGAAATAAAAAAAAAAATCATGCACTTAACTTAAAATGACTTATTAAGGACTAACAAGCCAACAGTGAGGCTGATGTCCCGCGCCGAAATCCCAAAATAAATAGATGACACATATTAATTAATAACACATTTATGTGTGAATATACGCAGATTTTTGCGTGACTGCGACCTCTGTTTATTTTCCTTTTATTCAGTTTTGCTTGCTTAAACATTACTGTCAAATTATAGCCTCCAATTGAGTCAGTTTACCTTGCAAGCTTTCCCGGTAATGGAGAATCAACTCTCGAAATGTCGATTGAGACAAAAGAATGACTTTTAGCAAGCTAACCCTTTTAAGGAAATTATTATTATTTCAAACATTACCCTGCAAGGAATTTACTTAAATCTGAGGAACCCAGCAACAGACAAAATGGCAGGTTACCCAAAATGAAAAAGCTGTAATTTCTCAGGAAATGTAGAATTTTAGGAACTGTTATACTGAAGACAGGAGTGATCAAGAAATAATCTTACCTGATTTTGATAAGTAAGGTAATAAACGGACGAAACATTTCCGAAACACCCAGAGAACCATTGTCAGGATTAAGTGGTCCATCTTGATGAATTAGTAGGCCACTGTAATAAAATATTATGACAGAGTTCATGTATTTAATTTGAAAGACATCAACAAAAATCTTTCTTTCTCTTGGTTTGAAATGTATAAATTTTTTATTAACATTGCTAAATAAAATGAGATCCAAGAATATCATATACAATCAAGTATCATATAGACTAAAGTAATATTCAACTTACCAAACAATGGCTAATCTTGGGATTGTAAACATTAAGGCTGGATCATACTCATTAATCATATCTTCACTCAAATGACCTAATTTTACAGCTCTGTAAGAAGATTGAAGTGAACATAAAGATATTCGTGCTGTGGTGTGCTTATAGTTTATTTATACTATGTTGTAGTATGTATTAAAACAATCCAACAGTGAGGCTGATGTCCCCCGTCAAAATCCCAAAATAAATAGATGACACATATTAATTAATCGACATTTATTTTTTTCAAAAGTATCAAGCAATCAAACTGATTATCAACTATACACTAAGTTTCATCACTATCTATCAGATAGAATCAAAGTTATCTTGTCCCAAAGCATCGACCAATGAAATCGCTTAGGTCTGCTTAGCTTTAGCTTGAAATGTTAATCAGAAAACTCTCATCATCAAGGTAATGATATGATGAATCTATACTCGGAGTTTCATCACTCTCACTTAATTATAACCAAAGTTATCGTAGCCCAAAACATCAACCAATCAGATTGCTTATCTCTGCTTACCATAAGTAGACAATGTTTATCACCGAACTCCATCAAGGCATTCACCAAATGAACGCCTATATCACCGAACTCCATCAAGGCATTCACCAAATGAACGCCTACATCAAGTTTGAACATTCTACCTCAATTAGAAGGAAAGTTATTGTGTTCCAAAGTCTCGACCAATCAAATTGCTTAATGCTCTGCTTACCCTGAGCAGAAAATGCTCATTATCGAACTTAGTCAAGGTATTGATGTGATAAAACTATACACCAAGTTTCCTCACTCTCACTTAATTTTAACTAAATTTATTGTGTCCCAAAGCATCAACAAATCAAATTGCTTATCTCTGCTTACCCTAAGCAGAAAATGCTCATCTTCGAACTCCAGTATGGCATTCACCTAATAAACATCTATGCCAAGTGTGAACATTCTAGCTCAATTAGAAAGTCTCGGCCAATCAAATTGCTTATCGCTCCAATTACCCTGAGCAGAAAATGCTTATTATCGAACTTTGTCAAGGTATTGATGTAATGAAACTATATACCAAGTTTCATCACTCTCACTTAATTAGAACTAAAGTTATCGTGTCCCAAAGCATCAATCAATCAAATTGCTTATCTCTGCTTACCCTAAGCAGAAAATGCCCATCTTCGAACTCTATCAAGGCATTGACCTAATAAACACCTACACCAAGTTTGAACATTCTAGCTCAATTAGAAGGAGAGTTATTGTGTCCCAAAAAGTGTGACGGACAGACAGACAGACGGACAAACAGACGGATGAACCCAATTTTAACAGTCCCCTGCTTTTTTCGAATGGCGGGGGACAATTAATATAGAATTTGGTTTATTAATAAATTATTCCTCAATATTCAGTTGTGTTGAAACTTTTAGTATTTGGCTATTCATCTGCACTTTCCAAACATGATTGATAAAACCAAGAATAGAATGAATAGGCCTAGTCATCCAAAAATCTTGTAACCATGAACAAATATTCAGATACAAGTTTCAACACTAGTATCCAGAAGAGAAGATGGATTTGTCTAAACTACTGAATTATTCTTCAAAAATATTCAGCTTAATTTATAACTTGAATACTAATAACAAAGGTATTTACACTCAATTAGACAAAAAACATCCTAAAATTTGTCTTCAATTCACAATCAATTGGGCAAGTATAAGTTATACCAATATCATTCACAATGGTCTTACGACTCGTACGCCACATTTTTAACATACCTCTCCCAATTCCTAGGAAACCAGCAGCTGCCAGGAAGGATATGCCCACATTTTCGAGAGATGGATAGAAAACAAGCTAAAACGAAAGTGATTTTTCCTACAATCAAGGGCCATAATTCAGGAAATTACAATTCGATATGTGCAAATATCGAAAGGAACCAAGATCTTTGGGTTATAAACTTACATTTCAAGTTTCAACAAAATCGGATAAAAATTGTGACCTCTATAGGGTCCACACCCTTGATATACCATATTTTTACGCAATTTGAGAACGAGGAGCGTCCATTTTGTCTGTCAGTTTTGGGCCGATATTTCACGAAATTCAAACTCAGTCGTCCTTAGGGTTAATACGTTTTTTTTAAATCGGATAAAATTTATGACGTCCATAGGGTCCACAAGCTAAAAACGCAATTTTCCGTACAATCAGGGGCCATAATTCAGTAAGTTACGGTCCGATATGCGCGAATATCGAAAGGAACCAAGATCTTTGGGTTATAAACTTACATTTCAAGTTTCAACAAAATCGGAGAAAAATTGTGACCTCTATAGGGTTCACAACCTTGATATACCATATTTTTACGCTACTTGAGAACGAAGGGCGGCCATTTTATCTGTCAGTTTTAGGCCGATATTCACGAAATTCGAACTCAGTCGTCCTTAAAATGTGACGGTGATATATTAACACGGTTTTTTAAATCGGATAAAAATTATGACCTCTATAGGGTCCACAAGCCCAAAAATGCATTTTTACGTACTATCAGAGGCCATAATTCAGGAAGTTACAGTCCGATATGCGCAAATATCGAAAGGAACCGAGATCCTTGGGTTATAAACTTACATTTTAAGTTTTAACAAAATCAGATAAAAATTGTGACCTCTATAGGATCCACAACCTTGATATACCATATTTTTACGCTATTTGAGAACGAAGGGCGGCCATTTTGTCTGTCAGTTTTGGGCCGATTTTCACGAAATTCGAACTCAGCTGTCCTTTGGGTGTAACGGTGATATAATAATACGTTTTTTTAAATCGGATAAAAATTATGACCTCTATAGGGTCCACAAGCCAAAAAACGCGTTTTTGCGTACTATCAGGGGCCATAATTCAGGAAGTTACAGTCCGAAAAGCACGAATATCGAAGGGAACCAATATCTTTGGGTTATAAACTTGCATTTCAAGTTTCAACAAACTCGGATAAAAATTGTGACCTCTATAGGGTCCACAATCTTGATATACCATATTTTTATGCTATTTGAGAACGAAGGCCGGTCATTTTGTCTGTCAGTTTTGGGCCGATTTTCACGAAATTCAAACTCAGTCGTCCTTAGGGTGAAACGGTGATATAATAATACGGTTTTTTAAATCGGAGAAAAATTATGACCTCTATAGGGTCCACAAGCTAAAAACGCGATTTTTCGTACAATCAGGGGCCATAATTCAGGAAATTACGTTCCGATATGCACGAATACCGAAAGGAACCGAGATCTTTGGGTTATAAGCATACATTTCAAGTTTAAACCAAATCGGATAAAAATTGTGACCTCTACAGTGTTCACAAGCCAAAAACGTGATTTTTCGTACAATCAGGGGACATAATCCATGAAGTTACAGTCCGATACATGCCAATATCGAAAGGAACCGAGATCTTAAGGTGATAAACCTATATTTCAAGTTTCATTGAAATCGGATAAAAATTGTGACCTGTAGACTGTTTACAAACAATTGTGGACGGACGGACGGACGGACAGGGGCGACAACAATATACGTCCACATGACAATGTGGGCAGATAAAAATATCAAGTAATGCTGATCTGAAACAAGTCTGACTGAAATGCACAACACAAATACATTGACAACAAAAAAAATACCTCTGAACCGTTTCAGAAAACAGAACTGTGATTTCTTGTACCATATCATACTCTCTCATAGTCTTTACTGGTACCATTGCACTTACGTAACTACAAGACAAGTACAAAATAAAGATCACTTTGGAATTAAATAACTTCGCAAAACCGCTAAAGTTCCAACATTTATGTGAGCACTATTGCAAAGCAATAGTCATTAGTGTAGAAATACAAATATACAACAGCTATGTGAACTTCCCAAATAAATAACATGGGGTTAACGTTCTATAGTTCTGTACCAATTGGGCTAATGAAGATGGGCATACACCATACAGTTTGCAATGAGGGCGATTTTGCCGCAGTGGCCTACTCTTATTTTGCATAACAACATTTTTTTTTACATGCACGCCAATGTGTTGGCTTACACAGGGGCTCATTTTTTTTTAATCTTCCAAAGGATTAGGCACTGTTCCTTGTTAGGCCCTAAATCTTGCACCACTAACGTGGGGTAACCACACCTGGGTAAATCCTGAGGAATTCTCTCGGCCAACACCGGGAGCGAACTCAAGACCTCCTGGTTAGCATCAGGTGTTTACTACATGTAAAATTAAGCAAAAGAAGAGACTTTTCTATCACTTTCATTGAAATTATCATAGGATTATTATAAGCTGACAATATAACTCATAATATCTGGTCAATTTTATACACTACTGAATATACATAGACACTGCCAAATCAATAATTCAATAATTATCACAGGTTAAATATCAATGTTTCATGGTAATTTCAAACCATTAGTCTACTTCAATACTGTTATAATAGTCGGTTTGAATTCTATAAATAAAACATATTCTTAGTATGCGATCTTACCTCAATTCAAATTCAGCAAACAATTTATCAAATATCACCAAGGATTCTCTTATCTTAAACAAACAAAAAAAGAATAATAATTAGCATTAATAAATATCATGAAATTTGTTTGCAGTAATTGAAGAAAATTCAAGTCTCTGTACACCATTCATATTTTTCCATGTAATCCACGCTAAATGTAGGCTACTCAATTTGATCATTTAAATTTAAGATGTATAATTTAATTAGGAAAACAAAATGAAAATATCAACAATAAATGATATCCCAGTTTGGATTCAACCAGATCAAAAAGAGGAACACCAATAGACTTCATAGAAAATCATAAATTTTGCTAGCTGGTGTTGACTGATACCCTTTGCATGTATATCATCTGCAGTGGATGCCCAGACACAACTGCAGCATATCCAAAAGGGAAACTTGGATGTTGACCAAATTTAATAAGGATCTAGGCTCTTTCAAGAAATCTAATATCGATATGTATTGTGTTCACCAAATTTGCAAGGCAATAGGGTTAATCTTCTCACAGTCCTAATGCTTTGCACAAACTTGATAAAAAATATGTTAAAATCTCTATCACGTTAACGAGCAATTGTTGACGGAAGGACAGAGGGGTACGACTACTATATCCAAACTACATGTCGGGCGTATAAAAATGAAATTAGAAAAATGAAAATGTATGTATAAAGAGCAGTGAACTAGATTTATATAATCTATTGGATAGTTCATACTGTATCATATCTTTTTTTCCATTTTTCTCATTTCATTTTACTTATTTGTGCTTATACGCTTGCTCAAAAACGACTTGTGGAATATTGTTGAAACGTCGCAGTGTAATAAACAATAGTAATTGTTATCCATAAATAGTGTTTAATTTGAAAGAAATCATTATTAAAGAGTCAATAACTAATAATATTTATCAAAGCTACATACCCTTTCTGAATATTGATTAATATTACGCAGACACTGTTCCCGTAGAACAGATCTGAGACTGTCTAAGTTCTTTGTTAATGCTCTGGCTAATGGTCTCATACTGGCACTTTCTATTTCTCTATTCATTATACTAGAACCAGCTGCTAAACACTGTAAATACATACAATATTTATATATCATTACTAAAATAACACACACATATACACCTATAGTAGGCTATTCCAATTAAAGTTACAAATTCATATTTTCTTAGAAAGTCAAAACATAATTATTTCTATGTCTTTTGCTTAAGAGGTTGTCAACTCACTATTATACAATCATAGGTGTCATTCTCACACTTAAAACTCATTTACACCGGAAATAATAACACAATTACCTCCCAAGTTTTCTATTCTCCACCATGGAGAAGCTTTTTCAAACGTTTGAATTTGAAGAGGAAAATGATATTTTTGCCAATTTCTTAACTGGCAATAGTGAATTATAGGATTAATAGGATTATTCTTTAACAAGGTAGGACTGTTTATAGATACCATCTATTTTAAGGCTTTATTTTAATAAATTTTAAAAATATAACTTAAAAATATGAAATTGCAACTTTAATAATCAGGACCTCCAACAGTGCCATAGTAATAGAAATTTAAGAATAGAATAATATCAACAAATCCCTTATTTACATACTGTAGACAATATGTAATTTACTTTTCAAGATGTATTAGAATTAGAGCTATTTTGTTTAGCCTCAAATTAGAAGATAAACACTGCCTGTTTAGAATTTAGAGGACCGTTATTGTCCATTTGAACCCGCTTAAATCATTAGTGATCGAGCGCCTCTACTAATGAAAAACTGATTCATTGATAGATGTCTATACATTCGTGTGACTGTGTAGATATATGCAGCAGATATATATCCTGTGGTTGAATTTCAGTATTGATCATATACAAGCAAAATGTCCTAAAATAAAGTTTTGAGGTGTAGAATTTTGGACGCTGCAATGCAAAGAGAGACTAGTACCCAGGAAATATTCATTTGCAGTGAGTCATCCTAGTTGCTGTTCTTCGTGTTTAATGTCCGCTTCCACCGCAGGTGATATTACAGACAAGTCTTAATTTTTATTATTATTATCTTAGTGCATGCGCAGGGGTCTTTCCTGTGGGAGGAAACCGGCCGGAGTACCTGGAGTAAACCCACAAGGTTGAGAAGACGCCCCTTTCTCCCAGCCATATACACTCATAACAGGGATCAAAACCACAACCACAAGCCAGAGGGGACCAGCCAGCTGGAGGTCGAGCGCGACACTCTAGACCACTAGGCCATCCCAACCCCCGAGTCACCCTAGAAATTTAGAGGACTGTTATACTCATTCTACACCACTTTTCGACCAATCGGAATCCAAGAAATTTCCAATTTGGCCTCTAATATTAATCAGACATTTAATCAAATGCCAAGCCCAAAATTAACTCTCTAGACCATCGGATTTAAACATGATTGCAAGTTAATAATTTAATCAAAAAATGGATAATCAGCTGAGAATGAAGTAATTTGACTGAAATTTTCAACATATTCCCTTTTCATTATCTATTTGTTAACATTATAGCGAAAACTGTCAGCTCTTTATCTAAATCTTGCATAATGCATCTTAAAGTTACTGAGGGTGTATGTTAAGCATACATGTACATTATACAAGAGCTAAATCTGCTTATTGCAGGTCTTTCTGTAGGTCTGAAATGTTATATAAACTATTAATTAGACATTTATTAACAAAATAAGACCATATTCAACTCTTGATGGCATTGGATAATCAAGATTTTAACAAGCCAACAGTGAGGCTGATGTCCCCCGCCGAAATAGGAAAATAATTAGAGGACACATATAAATTTATCACAAATTATCTTTTACAAAGTATTGAACAATCAAACAGTATATCTTTACTTATAGTCTAACAATCAAAGTAGGAGAGTTATTGTTTTCCAAAGTCTCGACCAATCAAATTGCGTATCGCTCTGCTTACCCTGAGCAGAAAATGCTCATTATCAAACTTAGTCATGGTATTACTGTAATGAAACTATACACCAAGTTTCATCAATCTCACTTAATTAGAACTAAAGTTATCGTGTCCCAAAGCATCAACCAATCAAATTGCTTATCTCTGCTTACCCTAAGCGGAAAATGCTCATCTTCGAACTCCATCAAGGCATTGACCTAATCAACACATACACCAAGTTTGAACATTCTAGCTCAATTAGGAAGAGAGTTATCGTGCCCCAAAGTATCAACCAATCAAATTGCTTATCTCTGCTTACGCTAAGCGGAAAATGCTCATCTTCGAACTCCATCAAGGCATTGACCTAATAAACACATACACCAAGTTTGAACATTCTAGCTCAATTAAAAGTTATCGTGTCCCAAAGCATCAACCAATCAAATTGCTTATCTCTGCTTACCCTAAGCGGAAAATGCTCATCTTCGAACTCCATCAAGGCATTGACCTAATCAACACATACACCAAGTTTGAACATTCTAGCCCAATTAGGAAGAGAGATATCGTGTCCCAAAGCATCAACCAATCAAATTGCTTATCTCTGCTTACCCTAAGCGGAAAATGCTCATCTTCGAACTCCATCAAGGCATTGACCTAATAAACACATACACCAAGTTTGAACATTCTAGCTCAATTAGGAAGAGAGTTATTGTGTCCCAAAAAGTGTGACGGACAGACAGACGGACAGACAGACAGACAGACAGACGGACGAACCCATTTTAATAGTCCCCTGCAGTCTTCGAAAGGCGGGGGACAACTAGACTAGACTGGTTCACTATTTAAAACTTCAATTTAAAAATGGGAAAGCGACGCTAAGTCTCAAATATACCAGTGCCCTGGTTACCATAATGCACACATCTTGTCAAAACTACAGTGATACATTTGTAACTTAGCTAAGAAGAATGAAGTAATTTGAATGAAATTTTCAATATTTTCATTTTACATTATCTATTTTGAGCTATTATAGCAAGAATGGTCAGCTCTTTATCTAAATCTTACATAATGTATCTTTAATCTGTTACTTTAATTATGAATTTTGGACCAAGATTTTATGTGTAAGCTTATACTAAATATTTTTTTTTTGTTTCTTTTCAAAAAGTACCTTTGAGTGTGAATGGGGTCTAGGGTACTGGCCAAACCTATAATAATAAGTTGTTAAATGAAGCTTCTAGTCATTTTTGTAAATAATACATGTATGCTCGTCTGTACATTGTATTACTTACTATAAAGATTACATATAATTTTCATATTGAGAAAATAAATTTCTTCACAAAAAAAATGCTCTAATCTTTTTTTTTAAACTGTTTATAATATTCAAATAAACTGCATGCACTTAATAATGCTTTCACAAAAAATACATCAAAACAAAAGACTTCTGTTGAGTTTACACAAGTCAATCCGTTTTAATATATTACTTGCTACTTCAGTTTCCTTATGATATCATATATAAATTATTTCCTGAATCCATTTAAAAGTATGATCACAATAAGATGATCATAATCATCACAATAAAAAAATTTATTCTTAAAATTTTTCAAAAGTATTCTATTCAGCAGGGGATAATTATTTTAACAATTGGTTTTATTAATTAACATTAACCTTTTGATTGTACATGTATACTTGTATAGTAACATAATTAAACAATAATAAATAGCTATTATTCATCAACTGATTGTTCAAAGGTTAAACTCAATGCATCTTTTGAAGAACAACGCAAGATATAAAAAAAAAACATTAACAACATGTTGTTTAATTTGTTTTTTTTTTAAGACTTTAGCAGTTACTGTGTAACAGTTATTTAAAAGTATACATGTAATAAATATAATCCGTTAGTGGCATTTAGCGTTAGGGAACATAACAAAACTTGAACAATTATATGGGACAACAGTCACTGGTTTATTATACAACCACAGAATGTTTTGATAATAAGTGCATACATGTATCCTCTTTAGTATAACTTATAGTTTAAATGTACAAGCACAAAACTGTAGTCCTATACATGTGTAACTGTTCTACTAGTTTTGTTTCATAATAAATATCACTGATATAACAAACTAGAATATAATAAACTCTTGCCAAGAAGTATTTTTATACTGTATTGTACCATATATATAAAAGCTATTCATTTCAGTTAATAGTAAATACCACAAGTACTATTACTACTACCTATCTTTTTGACATAGGTGTTAAATAAAAAAACATAAACATAGGTTGCCAGGCAACAAACATCAGATCATAATTATAGTGTAATAAGTTGTTAGCAAGATTTCATAACAAATCATTTATGACTGTAGGACAACAAATTTCAAAAAGATCTACTAATCATGTAAATGAAGCCTCTATAGTATAGTGCTAACAGTATTTCGCAACAAAGTTGGAAGTTATCAAAAATTGTTGTAAATCAATGTGGGCCTTCCTTTCAATGGGACAGAAAACCAATATAAAGCTATCATAGAAAAACTGTTGAAAGTCAATATGGTTCTACCTTTCAATTGGATAGACAAAAGACAACTTATATCAATTTCAGAAAGATCAGATCATAATTGAAGCTGTTGGCTCAATAGTGCTAACAAGATTTCCTAACAAAGGTGAATAAATCTGGAAGTTATTATCAAAACTTTGAGACTAACAAGGAGGTACAGTACATGTATATCAATTTCAAAAAGATATGGATTATTGTAACGTCTCCTAACAAGACATCATGAATAAATGAGAATGGACATACATGACAGCAATCAGCTATAAATACAACCACATTATGGGAAACTAAACTTGTACACAAAAAACAAAAACATGTATTTATCAGTACCAGTATTACAGCTACCCATCTACATGTAGTACAGAATTGACTGAAATGAAATATTTATGCTATATGACATGTAATTCATGTTTTTTGGATTTTAAATCATTTAAAGTAAAAATAATCCAAATAATACATGTATCTTTATAAATTACCTGAAAAATCTGTGGAGAAACTACCGGTATACATAAACTGACAAGGAACAGGAAATATAATAAAATGAACACAAATAATCTAACATCTAAAATCTAATCAAGAAAATATCAAGCTGACAATAATTATTGATTTCACCATTAACTTTTAATAGAGAAATCATTTTTTAAATCAAATACATGTAGCCAAGGTAGGGAGTACTACAGATATACATAGTATTAAAAATACATTCCCACTACAGTACTTCAGAATCTGAGATCATCAGCAACAGATCTAGCAATAACATTTGAACTTTAAAGTAGCTACATGTATGTCTCTAACTCAATATCATCCAAAATCTTCGACATTGAAAACACGATTTATTTGTCGCTTTAAATCAACATTGATGTTGTGATCTTACCGGGAAAAGATGGGCTTCTGATATCCAATATTTAAGACAAAATAAACATTTTAACATTGGTACACGAATCGTGTACCATAATGCGTTTAAGCGCTATTTGTAATAAGGGACTCGAAAAATGAGGCTAGGCATATTCCATAAGTCATGTCATACGGTGACGCTATATTCTTATCTGGGGAGCATGCCCAATAAATACTATCGGTGTAGACTGGAAAAACCAGACGCTATATATTGAAATTCAACTGAGAATCCGGCGTATTTCGCCGAACCTAACTGATTAGAAATTACAGTAAAAACAGAAACCATTGAATGTAAATCAATTTATATACATTCATATTACATTATTGCATGCGTTGCGACCCATTTGTGTCAATTTCTAGGTCCCAAATATTAGCGACTTAGCTCCTTTAAACCAAATTTACCCCAACCTGACAACCGGTACATCCTTCCCCCAAAAAGTAAAAGATATTAAATTATTACCTCTGCTCCAAACCAAAGCTGTCCAGAAAGATTTTCCTGTATGACATCGTCTGGGAACTTTACTCGAAAATCTCTACTTGCTCTTTGATGAGGTATAGCTTCATCCATTATTTGCTGTATTATATTGAGTACCCTGTCTTGACACGAGCGCAGCTGATTAACCAATAAAGAACATCTCTCAGGATCCTTTCTTCCATCAAAACTATCAAGTTCTGCCGCAACCAAATTTAAGTCCTCATCGGCATAGAAAAACTGGGCTAACATCGAGGTATCTGTCCTCTGAAAAAAAATAAATAATAAACAATAAAATAATCAAAAGTTTAACTGATATGGTGACTTTTGTTAAATCAAAAATATTCCATAAATTCCCATAGGAGAAAAGGTATGATTACCAAATATTTTCTGATTTTCTTTTTGTTTAAGTAGCGAAACATTCTGAAATACTGGCAACTAAACTACAGGAGCTTCCGATATACTGATAGAGATACAGGATATGACAGAAGGCATATGATAATCTGGACATAATTGACCAACTTATATAATTGTTTGTAATACAGTAATGAACATAAACATGTCTATTTTCTCTTAATTCAACTAATTTGAGTGTCTAAGACAATGATATTCACTGATCGTCATAGTCTGTATTATAACAACACAATACAATCCATCATAATTAATTATAATAATAATAGAACAATGACAGTCATTAACCCCTATATAACAATAACTGAAATCAATCCATCATTAATGTTCATAAACCTGCCTTAAGTTCTTAACACCTTTTAAACTACTTTTGCCTCAACTAATTCATCTCTGATAAAAATCTACTAGAGAAAACTAAGTTGTCTTAATGCAATGTCACCTTACAAGCGAGGAACTGATATTTAAAAACAATGCAAATCATCAGATTAGGAAAGCTTGTTGACTTTTTCAAATTACATTTTCAACATAATAATGGTCCAGGGTTTTTTTAAATTTCTGAATTGATCTTCAAGGATGCAAAATAAGTTGAATATACATAAAACAATAGCCAAATATAAATTACCTGAAACTAGAAATCTAAATTTGAACTCTGAAAACATGCAACAGATGTTATTTATAAACCACTTCAAGTGTTTCCGTCTCAAACAGTTCTGTACAACAAATCAAATACACAAATCTTTTGTTCTGTACACTTCAAGATTTGTTCAACTAATAATAAGCAATTCTATTTCTGTTGGTGTATGGTATGACCTATCAACATCTACATATGATTAGTTATAATGCGTCCGTGGATTGTTTTTTTTTAAAAGAAGACATGTTTAACAGTTCGCTGTAAACAAAATCAGCTGACTCGATTACGTAATTAGATGAAAAAAAAGAAACAAACAAGTCTTACATGTGATCAGTCAGTACATGACAATATTCAATGGCTATAAGAATTACTACACGTTACTATAGTTTTAACATCCTTTGTACATTGAATGAAATCATCAAAATTTAAGGAAACGATTGAAAAACTGTTAAGTTAATATCAATTGAGTTATCAAGAGGTTTTTTTTTGTTGGTTGGATGCATAAAGGATGTTACTTTTTTCATATTCATTTCTGTTCCAGAACTGCTCTCACCTACTTGTCCTCACGCACATCCATGTATACATATGTACATGCTAATTAGAAGAGAAAGAAATGGCTTTGAAAATAAATTTCAATCAGATAAAATTCATGTAACATGGAGGAAATGTTTTTATCTTAAATACTGTGTATAAAATGTCAAGCGGTTAACAATTATTCCAATCACTCACAGTCAGTTGTTTGATGGCTAGGTCAATCATATTGATCTTATTTTCAGCGCCTGAATTTGATAATGATGCATATTTTTGAAAACCTAAATCACGTTTAATGTTTCTCTTTTAAAAGATATCTTCCTGCGAACAAACGGTGTGATTTGATGATATATTTGGACTAAAAGCATACTCAACTTAATTAATCCATCAAAATTTTGCTTTAAATCCTTCACAAAACATTGTATTAGTGAGGAACTACCCCAAGCTATAAAAAATCTATTAAAAGAAGTCATGTTTGTGTCATGTGATTGGCTTTCACAGTACCAAACAAAGGGTGTGAAGCCGGAAGAGAATTCACTGCATATAAAAGATTGTGTTAGCTTTAAATTAATCGCTGTCCATTTATCATAAATAATGAACCCTAATTAAATTCTCAGATTATTCACTGCCCACGTCTTTTTCTGTGATTTTTATGTCAGAAACTGTAGTAAGTTTTAAGTTTCTGAGTTTTTCCTAGTATGCTCACCATCAAGTTTATCAACGCATACATCAAGCGCTCCCTAGTGCTGAGAGATCAGAAAATCTTCGTGCACAACCTTTGATGTCACTCGAGCAGACAGCCCTTAATTGTCAGGCTGCCAATTGGTGACACCCTCTCATTTTTGTCCTGTGCATTCTCCATGAGTGTTTTTCAAGGAATCCAGTATTTTTCTAGAACGATTGGGCTTCTCCACTTTCCATATATACCAAATTTTCCATGCTTTTATTGGAAATAACCACCCAATAAATACTTTTGTGGGTAGGTATCTTTAAATCTATTCAGATGACTAGTTTTTGTTCTGAATAATCTTACATAAAAAAGCTTAAATCTTATAAGATTGAACTTCAATGATCTGTCCTTAACAAACTTCAATTTTGAATTGCTGTCAATTTCTATCCAGTAGGAAGGGATTCGAATTGGAAGCTTAGTCTAGTGCATCTACATGTATTCAAGTCTAATCTTATATTGCCTCCAACTCAGCTGAAAGTTGGTATTCTATGAAAATATATAAAAAAGCTTCAGATAGTTGTTTGTTCATCATTAGGGTCTGTGACACTTAAAGGGGCCTTTCTGTCTATATAAAGATAGGTTGCCAGGCAACGAAACATACGCCCACAGCAGCTAAATCGCGCGGGCAGTCAACAGGAGTTGTTGCATATTTTTACTTTTTTCGGTAATGAAACATTTATAATACACTAAAATCTGAATAAGAATAACAACATTTAATATCATGGATTTAGATGTTCAAGTTATCAAAATTCATTGAAAATCAATATACTTGTTCGCCTCAAGACCTTAAACTCTGTGTATCAATCTAAAGTCAATCGGATAATATCTTTAGCCTCTAGAGCAGCACAAGATTTTTCAAAGTGATCAAGGGCCGAAACTTTGGCAGTAATTATCAGAAATCGTTGAAAATCAATAGGCTTCTTTGTCTCATGACCTTAAACACTGTGTAAAAATCTAAAGTCAATCGGATATTCACTTTAGCCTCTTAGAGTGTCCACAAGAATTTTTGAAGTGATCAAGGGCTATAACTCTGGCAGTAATTATCGTAAATTGCTGAAAATCAATAGGATTTTTCGTCTCATGACCTTAAGCACTGTGTATAAATTTAAAGTCAATAGGATATTAACTTTGGCCTCTAGAGAGTCCACAAGATTTTTTTTGAAGTGATCAAGAGCCTGAACTCTGGCAGTAATTATCGGAAATCGCTGAAAATCAATAGGCTTCTTTGTCTTATGACCTTAAACACTGTGTATAAATTTAAAGTCAATCGGATATTATCTTTAGCCTCTAGAGCGTCCACACAATTTTTTAAAGTGATCAATAGTGAAATTCAACAGGATTCTTCGTCCCATGACCTTAAACACTGTGTATAAATTTTAAGTCAATCGGATATTAACTTTAGCCTCTAGAGCTTGTGGACCCCGGACAGACGGGGGGATATGACAATATATGACCAGATTTCAATGTGGGCGTATAAAAACTGTGTGATTTAATGATATATTTGAACATAAAACATATTTAAAATATTTGTCATTGGATGCTGTTCATTTACCACTACCACAGATATCAATGTCTAAGTAAATTCTTGATTATCAGTTAGTGACACCTTTCCGTTTTAGTCACACCAGTGCTCCATGGGTGTTTTTCAGGGAATCCAGTATTTTTCTACTAAATTTGAATGCCTCTACTTTCCATACCAAATATGTCTGCCTTTTATTGAAAATAACTACCCTATAAATACTTTCTAGGGAATGTATCTTTAATGAGTCAGTTTTATTAACAGAAATATCACTGCCAGTATGGGAATTTTCCTTTAACTAACTAAAGCTTTAATTGTGTGTATATAATGTATACATACATGTTATACACATATATTAGAATTTCTTTATCACATCGTTATAGGTACATAAACATGGTATATTTTATAATCTATAGTCGTATGGTACATGCATATGGCTTTGTTTTCATATTAACCCAGCTATGTGGACATTTAATAACTCCATATTGATCTGTCTTCTGTGTCATTTTGAACTACATGTATAATATTTAATATGATGTGAAACATAACCAACCACTAATATAGTACACACAATAAATAGTGTTGACATACGAACAGTCAATATGATTGCCCCATTATCTTAATAATCATGACCTCCACTGGGAATTATTTTATTATCTGGTACCATATTACAGATGTATGGCATACATTAGCTGATTGTTGAAAATTAAATGCTATATGACATCATACACATAGCCAAATGTATGCTTATATTGCAAATAATTAGTCTATATTAAATTTTATCATGATTCATGATTTATACAGCTTACTATATTTTTCAGAAATATCAAATTTATAAGTTGTTTACTCGTCCCAGAACACCTGATACCACTCTACACAGATCTTGTTTTGTAAGGAGCATTCTGCCTTGTGGTACATTACCAAAGACATATTTGCTTCAACTTGAATTTAAAAAGGCTTATGGTCCACAGGGATGACAATGCCCTAGAAATAAATATCATATCATGGTTTTAACATTGAGGTTGTTTAAAGACATGCCCACTGAGTGTATCATGACCAGACCAAAATTCTATTTCCAGGACTGCATGATTCCTACTGACAGAAGTCCATATAAAAAAAATGTAAATTAAAACAAAAGAATAATTATTATCAGATATTGGAACAATTATTATGTAGGAAATAAATTTCAATGGCTACTGTTATACTTCCCATGATGGTGTCATGGGTTTATGTCGTTTTCTAGGACAGAAAATCAAAAACCTTGAAGTTGTCATTGCAGTTCTCTCTTTTGGTGGAAATTTCAAATTTACTTTTGGAATTATTGACCCTGTGTTATTTTTGTGATTTACAACATGACGCAAAGCAAACACATTTAGGTTACCTTTAGATTATTGATCTAGGTTGTGTATTTTTCTTCCAATTTCTTATTTGTTTATTTTTCATAGTCTTATATATAAATTCAATTCATGTGCTCTTTTTGTGTAAGGCTTGACATTCGAGTTGAACAACTGGAGGTTGGTCTTCAGATGAATGTTCTTTCTCCACACTGGTTTAATATGGTGAACACAGCATAAGCTATAAAAAGCCTGTCATTGACATCCTTGTGATTAATTAATGGTATAAGCTATGTACATTGTATGAATACCACCCTTGCTGAATGTTTGATGCTAAAAATATTTGAATAAAAGTTTGAATTTTAATCAGTTTTCTGCTTCCTGTTAAATTCGTCATTTTAATTCTACTTTTCAAAATAATAAGCTTAGCTTCAAGCATGAAGTGTCAGTGTCACATATGTAATATATTCTTAACTGATGATAAGAAACAAATATATATAATTATAATTGATCTGTCATAATGCACTATAAGAATAAGTCATTTCTGAAGTGAGTCACAATATGCACATGTACATGTGTATGCATGTCATGAGCATGACTGATTCCTCAATTATAACATCACAAATTAAAACAGTCAGTTTTATCCTGATCTGCATGTACCATGATGTGACTCTAAAATATATGTAAATTTTTCAGAAAATATTAATTAGTAGTAACAATATTCTTAAGTACATGTATGACGTATTCAACCACAAAAGTTTAATCATATTCATTGTTTGCATAATTTTTGAAATATGCTTCATCAGATTCTAATAGGCCTACCACCTAATTAACTCAAACAATTTTAGAATAATATGATTATATCAGAGTCAAAATGCCATAAAATTAAAGTTAGAAATTTACAACTTGTCTGACAGCAATTAGGATAATTTAATTATACTGCCTTTTACATAACGTCATTCAGCAGACGACTGCCCCCAAGGCTAGTCACACATTTTCCGATTGCTTCTTTGTATTCAGTTCTGGGGTTTTTTTTTGTTATATAAAAATAGGCCTTATGCCCTAACTCTGTAATTAATACACCTCAATTCTTTCGAATGCTTATATAACGTTTCTAACTACTAGTACTACATAGGCCATTTATAATTTAGCTGTACTTGGCTTTTTACTACATTTCACCGATATGGTTATTTGTATAGGCATTTTTGCTTCAATGTGCTTACATTTATTTTTCATGTAGCATAGCAGACCATGACTCGTATTAATATTATACAACATTTGGGAAATATTCCCCGTTACTATCAGTTGTTTTCTTTTTTAAGTGAACTCTGTATCTCTACAGACCCTGAACTGTACAGAGCAGTGGACGCTTACACCCAGCCCCTGGATACATGTGATTTCTGTGTCTTGTCCGTAGGTTTGTCTTATGTAAATGTTTGTGTGTGGTGCATTTACTATTACCATACCAAATGTCATATGAACAATTCATTTTAAAGGTCTTATTAACATGAATAAATTTAATAACAGAAAATCAATTAAGAAAACATGACAATAAATAAAATCTAATAGTCTACAAACCGTTTTTTGGGTGTACTGGCATTAAAATTATTTAAACAACTAACAACTTGAACAAGTAAGCTTAAATGTACATTTTACATGTAGGTCCGACAACATACATCCTGGATTAGATTGTTGAAATTCTTAGAAAAGAATCAATAAACTTTTATTTCATTCTATCAATCAAATTTATATTCCCATTGCTGTTCTACTAAGAGAACCAGGAGGAATTGAGTCATATTGACCTATTTACAGAATGATGTTAGTGGGTCAGCTCAGCTGTCCAGATACAATGAATGTATACTGGCCACCATCAAAGAATAAAAATATACATGAAACATATATTCTTCCTGTAGATCTACTTGTAATTAATTTCTAAGGGAAATGAGTAAAGTCACTAATAATTGTGTTAGATTAGAGGAACTTCATGGGAATGTTAAAATCATACTGTCACATAGAACAGAATGTTCTATCCTGGTAAATTTTTTGGACAACAAAGAAACATTTAATACACCCAACTAACAGGCTGACAACCCTATAATAAAATAACCAACCCAATTAAGAACTACATGTACATGTTGCAGGTACTACCTGTGGTGTGACAATCATGGCCCATTATTCCTTATGGGAACTCATAATTAATGCAATAATAATGGTCCATTGTTTAGTGTCATTCACACTTTTTGATTTAACATAAGTATTACCAAACACACCCAAACTTTATATCTATAATAACATTAGAAGATTATCGATGGTCTCAGTTCATTCTATTATTATCATTCTTAATTGTTGATAAATATATAATAATAATAATATCATTTTAATTCTCAGACTGAGTGACTAGACATAATCGCAGTAGGCCTGCCGCCTAGCTAATGGAATCAGAATCACCATCGTGAACTGTCAATTAATTGAAATTAAAAATAAAACCATTATGTTTCATATTGATTTAATAACCTATATATATATATAAATAAACATCACCCCACCTATGTATTCGAACACTGCATGAGAAATGGGTTTACTCATCCAATTCACTTCAGTGTTCACTCTCTCACCACAACAACATTCATACATTGAAAATAAGCCATAAGGAGATGGTTTTGTTCCTGTCAAATTTACCCTCAATAAAAACCATATCATACCTTTGGTCGATATAACCATCTTCTAATAGAATTCATCTTGTAACTTAGCTGTAAAAGATATTCGCAACGTCCCTTAGATCATGTTAAAAACAACAAAAAACACACATTATTCTTCTATACAGAACAAAATACACAGCTATCCCACAAAATAAAATCTCGTTTACGTCACAGGTGACGTTAGCCAACGTGACTTCCGGTTAATCCATTCAGACAAAAACGAAACTAAAAAAGGGATGCTGATAAACTTGTTTTGTTGTTTAGAACGGTCATTTTTTTTTTTTCAAAGAAGACAAACAGGGTTGCTAAACTAGTTACTGGAAAACGGTCTTGACATAATGTCTAGTGATGATAGTTTTCCACCAGAATGGCAAGATGACCAGCGAATGACTGTTTTATTTGCAGCTTTCAGGGACAAGTCATTGAACCCCCATTCCTGGAATAAAAAAATGAATTTTTGGATGAATCTTATCACAGATAGATGTAAAAAGAATAATTCATGTGTTGTCAGTTTAGATGATTTACCCACTCAGTTTGAAAGAAAGGGGAAGACACCTAAATGTTTGGATTTAGTTGTTCAGGAAATGACAAGGTGCATTCCAATGGTTTTGTAAATTCTACCAGACTACCCAAACACTAGATAACAAACCTTAATCTCTCAACCCTCCCTGTTTCGAGATAAGAGATGATGCCATTACCTTCAATGTAGCACATGCGGGAGCGATTCGCACCCGGCATTTGTAAACAAAATTGACAATATTTTTAATCAAAAAAACGATTGGTTATTGTTATTTATAATATTTCTGCCACACCCAACTACAATTAAGCATATAATCCTACCTGAAACGGGTACAAATCCCCTCTTTTTAAATCGAAGCGACAGTAGATTGCTTTTTCAGACATTTTAAATTTACGTCTGTAACACATAAAGGCGGGGCCTCGTGTGCAATAGGCAATCAATTCAAAGTACCCATCTGATCAGAGTCGCGCAGTAGTAATACAGCGTAATTATGAATGTCCGAATCAATTTTGATAAAAACAACGCTTGATTTACTTTATTGTCAATATTTGCTGATAAATGAATGTTGTTTCAGTAGATTGGACTGTGTATGTGTAATAAGTACTAATAGTATAAAATTAACTTATTTTTAAGAAGGTACATATTAATAAAGAAATTTGAGTTTGCCACTTGGAACTTAAGGCATCCAATCGTAGCTAAAAACAAGCACATCAGTATATCTCAGCGTTTTTAGTTACGTTCTCATAGCTACCCAAACACCCAAGCCAAGGCAAATGATATGTTATTCAATGTTTGTTTGAACTGAAGACATTTTTTTCAGTTTATATGCCTATCTTATGCTGACTTATATGTGTAAAACAAATATCTGATCGGCTACTTATTGGAAATCATATTTTAAAAAAGCTTTAAAATTACTTCCAAGAATAATATTTAACTTTTTATATGCCCACATTGAAATGTGGTCATAATATTCTCATCGCCCCCGACCCTCGTCCATCCGCCTGTTGGTTCGGCATCCATAATTGCTTGTGGACATTCTAGAGGCTAGAGTTAATATCTTATTGACTTGAAGTTAAATTTATACACAGTGTTTAAGGTCATGAGACGAAGAATCCTATTGATTTTCAACGATTTCCGAAAATTACTGTCCGAGTTATGGCCCTTGATCACTTTGAAAAATTTGTAGATGCTTCAGAGACCATAGTTATCATCTGATTGATTTCATATTTATATACCATGTTTACGCCTATCATTTCGATTGACTTTAAATTGATACATAGAGGTTAAAAGGTCTTGAGACGAACAAGTATATTAATTTTCAATGATTTTTCATAACTTGAACAGCTAAATCTATGGGCCAAATAAATTCTAATGATTTTCTGATAATTACTTAATGAGTTGTTACTCTTAAATCAGATTTTAGTGTATTATGAATATTTCCAATCTTATTAAAATACAGATCTATATTTCGTTTCGTTTTTTTTAATACTTTCGATGGCCTACACTACATGAAGATCTGACAGATTGTACTGGAAGGTTGCGTCAGAGGTCATATGCACGGCTTTGACCCTATAACGTCAGTCATAGATTATTCGATCCGTGCATGGCATGCCAAGAACTCGCCATAACAGACCGTTTCATTCGCTAATCCCTCACTTCAACCAAAATGCCGGTAATAGAACAACTCTTCCAGATCCTATTTTAGTACAATCTAATTAAAATACAGATCTATATTTCGTTTCATTTTTTATACTTTCGATGGTCTACACTACATGTAGATCTAACAAGTTATAGTTATAGTTGGAGTTCACGTTCTATGACGTCATGTACCAAGCAAGCGACATTTGACCCGATTACGTCAGTCATTCGATTAACCGATTAGCGACCGCCATGTATTTTTTATCTACTTTTGCTTTGTTTTGATTTCTATTGCCGCTCGATTCGACAGACCATTTGATTGGCTGACCCCTCATTTCAAGCAGAACACGAGTTAAATAACAACACTTCCAGATCCAAGTGTAGTAAAGACAAGTAAAATCGAAATTTTGAACTATAAAAACGAAACGAAATTGGATCTGTGTTTTAATCAGATTGATTTTAGTAAAGACAAGAAAAACAAAATTTTGAACTATAAAAAAACGAAACGAAATAAGATCTGTGTTTTAATCAGATTGTGAATGTTTCATTACCGACAAAAGTAAAAATATGCGACAACTCTTGTTGACTACCCAAACGATTTAGCTTGTGGGCGTATGTTTCGTTGCCTGGCAACCTATCTGTTTGTATTGATTTGAATCTTCGAAACATTTCTTTAGAAAGATTGATTCTTATGTTTGATTCTTATGTTTAGAAACCATCAGGGTTCGCCCACTAACTGACAAAGACTGAAAGAGTAAGAAACTGCACATTGCATAGTAGTCCTTCAAATTATTTTTATATCAATCAAAATTAGCTAATAAGATTAATCACACATTTTAAATAAAAAAAGAACAGATGATTCAAATTACATAAAGGAGTGTTGAGTTCAATTGATTGACTAAGTCAGAGTTACAATAGAGATGATTAAAAATGATAAGACCACATAAACTTGTTAACATTAGTTTAACAGAAAAAAAAATGGTTGTTGAGGGTTTTTTTCTCTTAGCAAGAGAAAATATTTGTTACATGTTAACCTCAATAAATCATACCAAATCATTGAAGAATTTATAGCTTTCTTTAATAAAAGTTGAATGTGTGAGTAAAACAATAAAGTAGGGGATTATACCGCTCTCTGTTAAATCTACTAAGTCATAAGGTTAATCTTGTTAGATAATTTAAGCACAAGTCATAAAAATGTCAAGGATATAACAGAACTGAATAATAATCTTCAATGAATTAGGTTGTTTTTTTTAACAATAATACACAAGTCTCATGACATTTTTTGACATAAAAGATGCTAATTTCAAACAATATCTTTTGATCTACATGTATAAGATTTTCCTTTATGCTTACAATTTCTTCTAGTAAACAAATAATATTTTAGACAATGGATATTATTGTTTTGAATAGGATAAACTGTTGACCTGTCATAGATAACCCAGCTGTTTTGGTTTTTTTAAATCAAGATTCAGAAATAAACAAGGTCAACATTGTTTTCACAGACTGAGAAATAAGAGTGTTATTTGGTTATTTTTTACACTTAGATCTCCAATTTTAGAATTCATTTATTTACCTAATGCAATGCTAATATATTAAATGATGTGTTTTACAGGTTAAAAAGATTACGTAATATATCTGATATTGAAGCTAGTTCTACTGGTTGGTTATCATGGGGTTATAATGTAATGAAGAAACCTGTATCATGGAGTTTAGGTCTCCTTGGTGGAAATAAAGAAAACACAGAAAAACTATTTTATATACCAGATTTGTTACAGGTTAAAGACGTATTTATATACATTACTTCTGGAATGAAATAATCTTAATGAATCTGAAATAGACTGGAAACACTTGACTGAAAGATTAAAATGTGTAGTCACTCCTCCACTTCTTTCCATAGCGTATTCATTTTTTTGACCAATATTATTGAAACTGGGTTTGTGACAACCATGTATAAGATCTCTGATGAGTTCAAATTTGAACAAGATTGATCTGTTACACGATTGAATTTTTTGTTGTTGTGTCATCAGACCTGCTATATGGGCACATATCCAAGTTTGGGTTTGGTTGTCGTCATTTAAGAAACCTCAGTCTGCTCATTAGATATCTTAATAATGTAAAAAAGAAAAACCTCTCTTTTTTTATATGAAACATCCATATACATGTACTAGTCAAAGGCTAAAGTACTTTGTAATATTATTACACTTCAGTATAAAGCAGGTGTCAGTATTATAGGAAAGCCCTTGGGTATTATGAAAGTATCAATGGAGTCCAAATTTGCTGTTTTAGTACAGCCCTAGGATACTATTTTTATACGCCCACATTTTCATGTGGACGTATATTGTCGTCGCCCCTGTCCGCCGGTCCGTCCACAATTTGTTTGTAGACACTCTACAGGTCACAATTTTTATTTGATTTTGACGAAACTTAAAATATAGGTTTATCTCCCAGAGATCTCGGTTCCTTTCGATATTGGCATATATCGGACCATAACTTCATGGATTATGGCCCCTGATTGTACAAAAAATCTGATTTTGATGAAACTTGAAATGCATGTTTATAACCCAAAGATCTTGGTTCCTTTCAAAATTCACGCATATCGGATCGTAACTTCCTGAATTATGGCCCTTGATTGTACGAAAAATCACGTTTTTAGCTTGTGGTCACTCTAGAGGTCACAATTTTTATCCGATTTAAAAGAAACGTTTGAATATATCACTGCTACCCCCTAATGATGTTTGAGTTCGAATTTCATGAAAATCACAATTTTGATCCGATTTTGATCAAACTTAAAATATATCTTTATAACCGAAAGATCTTGGTTCCTGTCGATATTTGTGCATATCGGAACAAAACTTCCTGAATTATGGCCCTTGATTGTAGGAATCATTATTTTTTGTTTAGCTTGTTCTCTATCCATCTCTTGCAAAATGTGGGTGTATCCTGCCTGGCAGGCACAGGTTTATGCCTTTATAAAAAGGGATTGGGTATTACATGTTTTCATCCTTCAATCTGTTTCCACTCGATAATTTTGGTTTTTCATGACTGATTGCCTAGACCTTATAAATGGGTGAATTTGGAAATACATGTAGATTGTATCTACATCAATGGTTTGTCTGTGATGGATTGACTGCCAATAGCAGACATTAAAAAAATGTAACCAACAAAATGTTGGGGCCAATATGTCAGGTATATAATCGATGGGTGTGTACAGGCCTTTACATGTATAGTTTATCTCTTATACTTTATTACAGGATAAATGTAAGAAACTGTTAAGGAGACATTATGATACAGTGGAATATGAATCAACAGATAATCTAATAGAACTATCGATATTAAAAGACAAGTATCATGATTTATTTACACAAGATTTTGATGTAGTTTTACGACAGTTAGAAGTTGATAAAAAGATAATTATTGCTCAAACTAGTGATAATGATACAGTAAGTTGAAAACCTCACACAAATATTCTTTAGTATTTGTCATTCGATGTTAATCAAAACTAACAGAATATGATAAGCTTTTTTTTTGTCTACTGAAATATTTAGTGATATCAATTCAATAAAATCTACATGGCTAAATAAACAAACAGATAAAGGAAAATATATTGTGAAAACTGACAATGCATCAAAAATGGTAAAAAGTTTGATAGTTAAGAGTCATTCCATGAGAACCATGCAAAATCGTGCAGTATCGGGAAGAAGGGGGGGGGGTGGAGTCGACTGATCGAGTTCAATTTGGGGCCAGAAGGGCAGATCTAAAAATTTCACCGTTATTGAGGTACAGCCTCTGGGTGATTTGGGCCAATTTTGCCCTTTTTGGCCAATTTTCAGCCCCCCCCCCTCGAGATGAACTCGATCTTCTGCCCCCCACCTTCCCACCTTCTACATGGTTTTCTCGTGGAATGACTTTAAGTTGTTTAGAATGTTGGAATAATTGATTTGATTATGTGGCTTCTAAAATGTTGTTGATAGATACTGTAATAAATTCATCTTATGTACGAAAATAACTCAATGAATTTTGGAAGAAGGATCCTACTGAATAACCATGATTAGACTTGCTCCGTTCTGTAAAGATGACTGAAATGGCAATATAACTTTATTGAAAGTAACCTCCATTTTGATTGACTGGAGATATAGAGAACATTTGGATAGCAATGCATGCTGTATGCTTTATCTGAAAGAAAATTAGCATGCCAAGCTTCTGAACAAGTAAATCTGTTGAATGGTTTTCGGAATACTTCAACACACTACTTAGTAGATTCTAATGATGAAATCTCAGAGACAACTGCTAATTCTACAGATCCTTTTCCTCTTAAATAGATAAAAATGTAGCACAGATAACAGAATGTAAAAAAGTTGCAAAGACAATCCTCTTTATTTAAAACTAATTTATTTTTGTATGAAATATGTGTATTTTGTATTTTTAGCTTGTTAAGTTTTGTAAACAGAGTGATAAATCAGTTGAAACAATACAGGACAGTGATTTGAACGTGTACAGGTCATTATCTTTAATCGTTTTTGTTTTCATAGTAATTTCACAATCATTTTTGGACCAAACATTATGTAAAATGATAAATGATTTCAGACTAGGGCTGCCGACAAGCAGTATCACAGCGCAATTTGGGATACATATTTTGTCTGTTGCTAATCAAAAATTAAAATCTAAAGTTTTTGATTTGCATTTTGGATATTGACACAAAGATTTATCCACATTTTGAAGACTAGAAGGCTTTCTCAACACTTTCAAAGTGTATAAAATGTCAAATAAAATTTAATGAACAAAACTGAATTCTCCGTCTGACATTTTCTTCTCCAACTACCCAGACACAATCCATTATACTATGTAATACTGGGACATAACTCTATGAATAGGGACTATTAAACTGAAAATAGGGAATCAAGTAGTACTCATGTTGCGAGACAGGTCAATTTCGAGTAATTATATCGGTATTCAATTTTAAAAAAAAAAAATCCAGTGTATTCCCCACGTATTATAGATAAAATATAAAAAAATAAATACATGTAAACGTATTGTGAAATGGGAAATCAAAGCAAGAATTCACGTACAATATTGCCTGTGTCTAGTTAATCGAGTTTATTCATTAATTTTCTCGTGTGTCCGATTGAACAAAAATAGTAACACACAATAAAAAGCAGACGAAATTGTTTACTGACGAAGAAATAACAGTTAAAATAAATGGGGCTGCAGAAGCCACTGCCAAGAATTGACATCAGACATAAGACCTAACCAAAAGTCCTCATCACATTCACAAACTGTCACAGCTACCTGTAGCAGTGCTAAAAATCTAAGAATGAATTCTAATCATTTGTTATGAATTAAAGTAATATCTTGTTATTTAGTTGTTGTATGTTCAAACTGAAAAACTGCTAATCAATTTTTAAATTTGCTAATCAATTTTGCAAAATTGGACTTTTTGATTAGCAGTACTGCTAATCAACTGTGAAAAATTATCGGCAGCCCTATTTCAGACTATTGTTGACCAAAATAAACGAATCTAACGCCCTACCATGCAGTGTGCTATGAAGGAAATGTTGTAGGTCAGCAGCTTTTTGCCCACTCTTCTTTGATTTCCAACTGCCAAAGGTTCTTTTTATATGCAAACCAATACTGTACACTGGTCATTGATTTTACATCCAATCCAAATGACTATATACCTTTCCGTGCCAGCCTGTCAGTATTGTATCATTAAGCGGTGGACACACTAGACGAATCAATCGGCTCCAAAATTCGCCTAGTGTGTCCACTGTCATTCAGCCGAATGATTCGCCCAAATCTAACATGTTTGATATATTCGAGTAAATGAAATTTATATTCGCCCAGTGTTTCCGCTTCACCGAAGCATTTGCCCGATTGTAGAATTCATTAGCTAATCACAATTCATATAGAGAAGTCACACGATTGTTTGAGGACATGGTCGCTGCCATGATTAATCATGTGACGCGAAAGGTGATGCAATCGACTGGTGAATCGAGTGAAGGATTCGTCTAGTTTGTCCACTCATTCGGCGCTGATTGATTCGTCCGAATCATTCGGCTAATGTTCCCACCACTTTAGCAATGGAAAACCAGACTGAGATGACATTAACGAGTAGAATATGATTAAAAGGGTTTGCCATACACCTGTGTAGAATTCTCTCTGTAATTTTATATTGCTCAGGTGTCTGGTTTTTTTTCTAGAATCTTAAAAGTACAGAAAGATTTGGAAAAACAAGTAGAAATACTATCTGAGAAATGTGACAGGTTTGTATTTTTCTCAGTAGTCTGATCAGTAAATATTTTGAAGTCATAAGTTCTGTGAAATTTCAATTAAAATTTGATATCAATTGTATTAAGCATTTGACATTTGGACTTTTCTGTTCTTCAATAGAAAAAAAAACGTGAATATTTCCTCAGTGCACAGACTTGCTGGATTGATGTTTGGACAATATAAGCAATATATGTGACTGAAGACTGGATATTATGATTATCTAATATAATTTGGATAAAATTGATTTCAAATTTTGTTTTTTTTTAGATATACAGAAGAAGCTAGATTATTTGTAAAACAAGGAAAAAAGACAAAGGTACACAGATACAAATAAAAATTTAACATCCAACTTGAATTATATGTTAGTAGCATAGGCAAGATTTGCTAAAGTAGGGGGAGAGAGGGCAGAAAATGGTGAGCATTATGAGAGCGTTAAATACCCCCAAAATGCACATTATTATGGATAATCTTCTGGTGTTGATGACCTAAGTCGGTGGCAGGAATGTACCAGTATTAGCTTTTCTAGCTCTCTTTTTACCCTGTTGTCATCTTTATTATTGTTTGATCCCTATACTAAACTAATATGTATCTGATTATGGGAGATTAGATAAAGAGCTGGCAGTTCTCACTATAATAGTTCAAAACTAGATAGTGTAAAGTGAATTTGTTGAAAATTTCAGTCAAATTGATCCACTCTAAACTGAGAATTTAGCGAATGAATTTTGGGCCTAGCCTAGATCATCATTACTAAAGTTGGAATAATGAAAAACATAGTCTCGATTATCCATTTCTTGATTTAATTATGAATGAGCATTGAGCAGCAGATCAGATCCTAATCCAATAAATATCGCAGGCTAGCAGTGACATTGAGAGTTGATTATGGTCTGGATAAGTTTATTAATGTCTAATTAATAATTTAGATAACATTTCAGACCTAAAGAAAGACCTGCAATAGGCAGATTTAGCTCTTGCATAATGTATGTTTAATAATTTCTCCTAAAAATATTGGATAATTAATAATCACCTTGCCCCAGTTTTTTTTCTAAATAAAAAAGTTCCTACCTACCTATTAAAAAAAGCATGATCTGGTAACTAGTCATAATAAGTAGTGTTTATGTGTTTAAATATATTTCAGGCAATACATTCATTAAGAAAGAAGAGAGCTATAGAAAAGTCTATTGACCAGAAAACTAACTCATTAGATATACTACATACTATGACACTTAAAATACAAGAAGCTGCTAATAATGAAATGGTAAGAATACTTTATCTCAAATAGTAAATACATTGGGTCTAACAACAGCTTACTTATAGCTATAGGTATCTCCGGCGAATACAAAGTTTTGAGAGGGAATTGAAGCAAATATTTGATAGATTGGTTATTTTGAATATGTCTTTAGTCCAAATATATCATCAAACCACAAAGTTTGTACTCGGGAATGTATTTTTAATTAAATCAAATTTACTTTATGTATTAGTTCAAATATGATCCAGTTGTGTTGTTGACTTTTTTAAACTTGGTATTCTTAATATAAAAGTTTATACCCATACTTTTTCTCGACTCTTTGATGAAAATGGGAGGGTATACACCGATACACGGCCACTTTTCAAGAGTCATCATTTTCAACTGTCTCAGCACTTTTCGAATGTGCGTCACTCTCAGTCATATTCTTACATTTTGTCTCACATTTCTTTACATTTTGATATCTAGTCGCACTTTCACATGTTGTCGCACTTTCACATTTTGTCGCGGCTTATGCTAATCCGCAGCACATAATCCAAATATTTTACTATTATAAATTTTTAAATTTATAATAGTAAAATAAAAATCTCTTGGCATTTTCAACACTAAAAACTTTCACATTTTGTCGCGGTTTATGCTCATCCGCAGCACGTAATCCAAATATATTACTAGTATAAATTAATCCATTGGCATTTTCTACACTAAAAACTTGAGAACTCTACAATTCCAACTCGTCTTCATTTAATGGCCGTTCTTGTTTTTGTCTGTCAGTGGATGTCAATACCTCGCGAAGTTAATGAATTGATCTGTGCGGAAATTAGCAAATGTACCTTGCTTATCAAAAAAGTTAAAATCCAATCTGTTGTACTGATCTCGAAGTGTCACCATATTCCTATGCAATTGGTATTTTTCCTCTGCCATCCACTACAATCGACGCAGCCAGGATGTTGGCAAAACAACAAGAAATGGCTATTGTACAAAATGATTGGATGACATTTGCTTTTCTCAACCAATCAATATCCCTGTTATGAACATTTTCCCTGACCTGATTTAAAACGTGAAATGCATGTGCAGTGTACTGACATCATTTACCTGAGTAGAAATAAGCGTTTGCGATGAGATAATTGGGGGGCTCTAAATGGGAAACTTTGATAAATTTGTGAAATGAAAAATGCTTTTGAAATTGGGAAAAATAGAAAAATCTCTATTTCTCGAAAAAGTATTTAGTATAAGTCAGTTATATACCTTGTTTTCTCGGTGTATAGTTTGATACACCGTCTCTTTTTTGAATGGAGATCTCCTCGGCTTCGCCTCGGAGCACTCAAAAAAGAGACGGTGTATCTCCCCATACACCTTGAAAACAAGGTATATAACTATTACATGTTTTCCATAATTTCTTAGTCTGTAATGCTAAAAATGCATTAATGTAAAATTTAGATAAAGAGCTGGCCATTTTTGCTATAATATTTTCAAAAATGAAAAAGGAACTATCCGGTCATCATTTTCCTAGTAATGATGACATCATAACAGTTGTGAACGACTTTGTTAGGGTGGCTGAAGAAAATGTCTTTCTAATCGGCATTCAGACCTTGCATTATTGTTGGCAAAAGTGTGTATACTTCAAAGGAGACCATGTAGAAAAATAAATGGAAACCATCAACTTTGTACAGGTCTTTCACAGATAGGATTAGAACTTTTCAGCCAGCCCTCGTATATTGAATATTTCATTCAAATTACTTTATTTTGAGCGATCTTATCACTGTTTGAAGTTATTTCATAGATTTTAATTATCATAGCAATGTTACTTGTTAATCAAGACTCCACCACACTTCTCCTTCTTTATACGCCCACATTGAAATGTGCTACACTGTGTTTAAGGTCATGAGACGAAGAAGCCTATTGATTTTCAGCGATTTTTGATAATTACTGCCAGAGTTATGGCCCTTGATCACTTCAAAAAATCCTGTGGACGCTCTAGAGGTCAAAGTTAATAGCCGATTGACTTTAAATTTATACACAGTGTTTAAGGTCATGAGACGAAGAAGCCTATTGATTTTCAGCGATTTCCGATAATTACTGCCAGAGTTATGTCCCTTGATCACTCTGAAAAATCTTGTGGATGCTCTAGAGGCTTAAGTTAATATCCGATTGATTTCCGATAATTTCTGCCAGAGTTATGTTCCTTGATCACTCTGAAAAATCTTGTGGGCGCTCTAGAGGCTAAAGTTAATATCCGATTAACTTTAAATTTATACACTGTGTTTAAGGTCATGAGACCAAGAAGCCTATTGATATTCAGTGACTTCTGATAATTACTGCCAGAGTTATGGCCCATGATCACTTTGAAAAATCTTGTGACACTCTAGAGGCTAAAGTTAATATCCGATTGACTTTAAATTTATACCCAGCGTTTAAGGTCATGAGACGAAGAAGCCTATTGATTTTCAGCGATTTCCGATAATTACTGTCAGAGTTATGTCCCTTGATCACTCTGAAAAATCTTGTGGACGCTTTAGAGGCTAAAGTTAATATCCGATTGACTTTAAATTTATACACTGTGTTTAAGGTCATGAGACGAAGAAGCCTATTGATTTTCAGTAATTTCCGATAATTACTGCCAGAGTTATGGCCCATGATCACTTTGAAAAATCTTGTTACGCTCTAGAGGCTAAAGTTATCATCCGATTGACTTCAGATTGATACACAGAGTTTAAGGTCTTAAGTCAAGTATATTGATTTTCAATGAATCTTTTTGACTTGAACAGCTAAATCCATGATGTTAAAAGTTTTGTATACTAAACGTTAGCATGGGGCAGAACTTTATAAAAACCAAACAAATTCTAATGGTTTTCTGATAATTACTTAATGAGTTGTTACTCTTAACCTGTTAACTGTGTAGTTTTTAAAACGTTAACTACCCCCTTAAGTATTTTTAATTCCGTTATTTTCCGTTTCAGAGCTGACCATATTCCGTTTCTTCGAGATAAAATGTTATTTTAAGAATAAATGAATAAAACATCTTAAAATGCCTTTTATTACAAAACGGATCATTTTAAACCAATGATAACAAATGTTGAATTGTGAATGACATGTAATGTTCAATGACTAGTTATTCTTCAAACCTGTTTCCCGAATTAAATAACAGAAAATTACATCTTGTGAGCTCGTTTCATCTTTTTAGCAGACGAAGCCATTTTTCTCAGCTGCTAGTTGTAGTCGCAATTTATCCAGACATCTTCGTAGTTACTACCGTTTCTTCGAGAATAAGGGCTGGATTCACAAGGCTACGGCATATTTGTGATGTCACATGGTTAATGCGGATAAATACGAGTCACGAGCCCGGCAGTAAAATAAGAAGTAAATGAAATGATTTTTACTTTTATGAAGTGACAGAAGTTTTTTTTAAGACATATATATACATTACCATGTTTAATTCAAGTTCAACTACAGAGTAATTGTATACAGGGATACATGAAAGACGGGTTTTCGTTTCGAGTAAAATTATGATTCCTAAATGATGAAATGAAAGTAGTTTAATACTAAAATAGACAGTAACAAAACCATGCGATATCCTTCAATATTTCCGATTTTTATGAATAAAAAGATGAAATACTTGGATAACTGCAAAATTGTTTTGAGTTTGTGTTTAGTATCGGCAAATATCGGCTTTTCCGTCTTTTTCCGTGTGCGATTTCAAATTCCGTTTTGAGTGGACAATTCCGCGATTTCCGCGTTTTTTCCACGATCACGGAAAATCATCACCCCTACCCCCTATTGTGTAATTAATTTGACGAAAAACGTCATTTTTGGACCTTTTTATTCCTGAAAAAAAAAATGATAGTAGTCTGAAACCATATTAAAAACTAACGGTAAATAGAGTTGTCTCCCTTCAATTAGATTTCCTCGACCAGGCGTAATATAACGTCCTACACATGCTGCGATCGTATGTTCGAAGAATAGGTTGGGGAAAATACCTCCAAGGCGTTATATTACGCCCTACACACGGTGAGTTGCAGTTGTCCAGGACGTTATATAACGGGTTAATCAGATTTTAATGTATTATAAATGTTTCATTACCGAAAAAATTAAATTGCGACAACTCTTGTTGACTGCCCGGACGATATAGCTGCTGTGGGCGTATGTTTCGTTGCCTGGCAACCTACACTAGGGACCGGGTATCATTCAGATTTGATAAAAAAAAAGGAAAGAAACTGAGCTTACCATCTATACTATTCAAAAAAAGTAGGGGATATTTGATTTTGGGGGCATAATACTAAAATATGCAAATGACTACGAAAAAAGTCACTATAGAACCTAACAGAAGAAACATTTCCAGTTACATGTGACGCCCAAACGCACCAATAGCTATCGCATGGAATGCAAGTGATACTTGGGATCATCATGGGGGTCCAACCCAAGATTTGCACGACTCTGACTTTGAATGTTACAGTCATTGTGGCATTGAATTCCAGGGTGGAAACATCAGTTTAATTGTTTTAGTGACCAGAAAACAAATTTTGATATGCGTCGGCTTACCCAAAATGAAAGGTTACGTGCCCTTGGCATGCTACAGATCGGCACAACACAGGCGGTTGTGGCGCGGACGATGAATGTTTCTCAGTCTGTCATAAGCAGGCTATGGTCCAGATACCGTGATACACAATCTGTACAGGACAGACCACGCTCAGGTCGACCAAGGGCGACAACTCAAGCCCAGGATCGATTTATCCGTACCTTGGCCTTGAGAAATCGTGTCATCACAGCAAATCAGATCAGCGCTCGTCTTCAAACAGACACTGGTGTGAGAGTGAGTGGCCAGACGATTCAGAATCGACTGCATAGGGGTCACCTTCGCGCCCGACGTCCTCGCGTGATGCTTGTTTGAGAGATCATCACATTCAGGCAAGACGTCGTTGGTGTAGGGATCGTCAACACTGGGATAATCGACGCTGGAGCAATGTGATGTTTTCAGATGAGTCAAGGTTCACTGTTGATTTTTTGGACAGACGTAGGAGGGTGTGGCTTCGTCGAAACGAGCGCTTCCAAGACGTTAACGTCATCAGACATGATCGATTTGGGGGTGGTTCTGTTATGATGTGGGGAGGCATCACTGTTGCTGGAAGAACGGCTTTACATGTTGTTGCAGGGCGTGTTACAGGCCAGTACTACCGGGACAACATCTTGGCAGCCCATGTTGTGCCGTTCGCACGACGTCATGGCCGCCGTTTCATCTTCCAGGATGACAACGCAAGATGTCACAGGGCCAGGATCGTTACAGGTTACCTCCAACAACAGAACATCACCACATTACCTTGGCCCGCACTGAGTCCCGACCTCTCCCCCATCGAGCATGTCTGGGACATGCTTGGACAGAGGTTACGTCAACGTCAACAACGTCCTGCCAATGTCCAAGAACTTGCTGCTGCGTTGCAACAGGAATGGGACAATCTGGACCAAAATGACCTTAGACGTCTCATTAGGAGTATGCCACGTCGGATCAATGCTTGTTTGGCAAACAGAGGAGGATTTACCCGTTACTGACTTGGTTGTGATGCTGTGGTAACTTTGCTGTTTGACCCCGGGTATCATTTTACCCTTATAATGATCAGTCTGTGCCTTACTTAGTCTAACGATCATTTGGAATAAATCGATGAATGTGAACTTCATTTCATTTTGTCATTTGTTTCTTCGTCAGTTTCATTAGGTGACTTTAATAACACTTAAAAATCAAATATCCCCTACTTTTTTTGAATAGTATATAATCTAATACACATATTCAGTTAATAGATTGCCATGCAGAAAGTGTTAAATACCATCAAGATTCATCAAAAACCGCCCAGTTTGTGCTACCGTTTAGTTTGACATCAGTTTTCTAGTTTATGAAACTAAATGGTCATAAACTGGATGACCAATATCAAAACTAAACTAAATGGTCATAAACTAGATGACCAATGTCAAAACTAAATGGTGTTTCTTAAACTAAACGGTAGCACAAACTGGGCGTTATTTGATGAATCTTGATGGTATTTAACACTTTCTGCATGGCAATCTATTAACTGAATATGTGTATTAGATTATAGATGTTAAGCTCAGTTTCTTTCCTTTTTTCATCAAATCTGAATGATACCCGGTCCCTAGTGCTATCTTTAAATTAAATCATTATGTGGCGATTGTTTCTTTTAATTCGTTTATATCTCTGCCATCAGATGATCGTATATTAATGTCTCCCTCGTCTGTCCGTCTGTCGGCTAAAGTTAATATCTGATTAACTTTACATTTCAACAGTGTTTACGGTCATAAGAATAAGAATCCTATTGATTTTCACCGATTTCCGATAATTACTGTCAGAGCTATGATGACCCTTGATATCTTTGAAATATCTTGTGGATGCTCTAGAGGCTAAAGTTAATGACATGTAAAGTTATACACAGTATTTAAGGTCATGAGAAAAACAATTGAAACAAATTCTAATGATTTCTGATAATTACATAATGGGTTTGCGAAATCAGATTTTCATGTGTTGTAAATGTTTTCATTACATTGTTCTTACAAAAGAAAAAAATATTTGACAACCCTTGTTGACTGACCGGACACATGTTTTGCTGCCTGGCAATCTATCTATGAAATATATGTCTTTTTTGAGATACATATTACATGTAGTTTAATAAGATGGTTTTCAAATTTTGAGTTGCAGGTAAACAAAGAAACTTAAAGAGGCAATATGTAAGATTTAGATGGAGCTGGCCGTTCTCGCTACAATAGTTCAAAAATAGAAATGCAATGAAATGAAATGAGAAAAATAGATAATGCAAAATGAATAGATTAAAATTTTCATTCAAATTACTTTATTCCGTGATTGCAGTTTTCACAAGATATGTATATATCATTAAATGGCCAAGCGGTTCTCCTCTATTTAAAATCAGAGTTATCCGATGACCTAGAGAGTTGATTATGGTCTTGTCATGTCAATAAATGTCTAATTCATAATTGATATAACATTTAAGGCCTAAAGAAAGACCTGCAATAGGGAAATTTAGCTCTTGAATGATGTATCTTTAAAATATGTTATGTTTATTTTGTAGGTTATAAAAGCGTATGAATCGGGTGTGTCTGCTCTTAAAGCTGCTGGTAAAGATATTGATATTAATAAAGTTGATAATGTTATGGATAATATACAAGAGGTAAAACATCATTATGTTTCAGCTTATTTAGTATCTATTCCTGCTGCTTAGTGACATTTAATTATCATTTAATTATGCTCATAAGGATTTTTTTAAACGTGATATTTAGAAGAAAGAATTGTTTTTGTATAAATAGAACAAATCTTCCTAACCTTTTCACTGCTACTAGTTGAAAATATTCTTACTTGCACTTAGTTTAAAACATTACGGTAGTTTAAATATACATAAGAGAATTTATTTCTTTTTCTCCATAAGTTGCTTGAAGATCAAGAGGAGATAAACCAGACTCTATCACGAGGGGAGGTAACTATGGGAGATACTACTATTGCTGATCTAGAAAGTGAATTAGAAAATATGTTATTAGAAGATAAACCTATTACAGAAATTGATGATTCAACTTCTTCTACAACAGCAGGTTTGTATTTTAGTTTGATAAATCTTTATGTTTAAAGATGCACTACATATCATGAAGGATGTTTTATCATATTATACAATAAGATACTTTTCATTCATAAGATACTCTATTAGAATTCAAAATATTTACATATTTATTAATAATTTGCTTTAGATTGCAATATCATTTCAGTTTTTATCCTCTGATTTTGATTTTTACACTATGTTGTAATCTAACCTTTATTTTACTTTTCATCAATGTGATTTTTATAAACTATATACATTTTATCATTTGGTTGATGACAAAGATACCTAGTAGAAACGTTGCTTAGTAATAAACAGTATTAACTACTGTATACCATAGAATTATGCTCTGTGATTTTAATCAGATTGCTCTCTGAATATCAGAGTTTTTATTGTTACACAAAATCAGATCTTAATGTTCTCCTCAGGGCGCAATAGAATAACTTGAATACTGTTTAACTATAATCGTTTGGATGCTTTTGTTTCAGATCTTAACTTGCCAAGTGTTCCAAGATTTTCACCTACTGGTTATGCTACAGGGAGCAGTTCCAGCATAGTACCTGGCAGTTGAACTTGAATATTTACACTACCACTGTTCTGTGTTATGTTAATTAAAATAGATAAATGTTTCTAAACATACATTCTCGCGAAAGTATTTATCAGGTGGTTATTTCCAATAAAAGTATGGCAAATTTGGTATGGAAGTATAGATGCCCAATCTTACTAGAAAAATACTGGATTACCCAAAAAAAACACCCATGGGGCAAATACTGAGCAAAAATGTCAGGGTGTCACAAACTGGCAACCCGACGGCTTATTGTCTGCCAGCTTGACTTGGGGAGCGGTTGTTATTTCTTGATTGAATGGTTAGGCGGTTTTGGGAACATTGAGGGGTGTAAACGTATAACAACAGAAAGAGAAGTTGGCAGAAAATAATTCAAGAATTTACTTGGGCCTCAATATGTATGGTAAATGGACAGTAAGTAATGACAAATACATTTTGAAAAATGGGCCCTCCCTCAATCAAGTGAGTTGACAAATATGACTTCTAAAAATAGATTTTTTTTTATAGCTTGGGGTTTTGAGATGTATTTGGAGCAAATTTTTGATATATTAATTAGTTTGAACATTTATTTAGTCCGAATATATCATCAAATCGCACAGTTTATACACAGGAAGGTATCTTTAAGTACATGTATTGTAAATGTAAGGTTTGAATGTTTGATTTTTCAGTTTTACTGCAATAAAATTGAATATGTTAATTACCCATAAACCTCAAAATATCAAATTTCTCACGGCTTAATCAACACTAATATGTACTTAGATTTATTATTCAAGAATTATGAAATCAAAATATGGATGCTAGATAATCTTTCAACTTGGATTCAATCGGATTAAAAACAGGCCAATCTATTAGTTTTTGTAAAAACAAAGACGGTGGTGGGCAACATACCATAGATGATGAAATTTCAGTTCATCATATATCTTTGTAAATACTGAATGGAATCAAACGTTTTTCAGACTGATATATCTGTTTGATATTCAACTTTACAATATTTTATTTTGCAAGGGATTCCTATATTGCTAAAATCATGCTCAAAGGTTTGAAATAAATGTCACTATTGTAAATACTTATACATAATTGAGTATGGTTTTGATATAAAATAAAATGATACTGTATAATAATATATTTTCTATTTTAAAAGACTGTAATAGTTCAAAAATAGATAATTATGCAAAATGAATATATTGAAAATTTCATTCAAATTACTTTATCCCGAGCAAAGTTATCATGTTTGTTCAAACAAGATGTGTGCATTGATTGTTTATTATTGTAACCATCGTACTAGTCAATCAAGACTTGGCCTTGCTTCTCCATTTTTAAATTGAATCATTAAATGGTCGAACCATCTTAATCTACTTAAAATCAGAGCCATCTGATGGCCTAGAAGGTAGATTATGGTCTTGTCATGTTAATAAATGTCTGATATAACATTTAAGACATACAGAAAAACCTGCAATTGGCAGATTTAGCTCTTGAATAATGCCTCTTTAATTCTTTTGCAGTTTTAGGCAAATGATTAGATAAAGAATTTACCTGTCAACCATCTGTTGTAAATAAATCAAGGCAGATAATATTATATTATGGCATTGCATTTCGTTTACAGATGTATGATACATGTATTTTTAGTGTGGTTTTAGATAACCAAATATCAATTTGAAATTATTTTACATATAAATTAAGTTATTGTAATGCATTGTTTGTGAATGAATCATGATGTATAATATATTGTTAAAGTGCATCTATTTACATTTCACTTTAATACAATCTTTATATTATTAATGTTTGTTAAATGTTGTGCTCAGACTGGAATTTACAATCAATATAAATAACAAAACCATATTTTGTTTGTTGTAATGTATGCCCTTATTAAAATTTAGTCATATCTTGTCATCACCTATGCCGTCAGTCCGCTGTTCATTCTTTTCTGCAGAAACTCTAGATGTTGTAGGTATCCAATCGTATTTTTTTTTAATTGAAATGCCTTTGATTTTCATTTATTTCTGATAATTAATTGTAGAGTTGTGTCTCTTGATCAATTTTAAACAATTGGGAAGAAAAAACAAGGTCCCGTGTACATGTTGGGAGTGTATGTAAAAGAACCTATGATAGAGTTTGAAATAACAGTAGGCTGTAACGCTGCTGTATGGGCAAAATTTCCCTCATGTCACACTTTATACCTTTGCTCGGCTTCATTAGCCCAGTCGGACATTAAACCCCATTTCATTTCATTTCATTTCATTTCATTTCAATTCTCTTAGACATGGCAATATTCTTATTCTTTATTTTTTTTTATCCGCCTTTATGGCTCTGGTAATACTATGCTTACATAACTATTCTGGTCTGGTCTGGTCTGTTTATTAGGTGAATACCTTGATGGAGTTCGAAGATGAACATTTTCTGCTTAGGGTAAGCAGAGATAAGCAATTTGATTGGTTGATGCATTGGGAGACAATAACTTTAGTTCTAATTAAGTGAGAGTGATATAGTGTATAGTTTCATTACATCTATACCTTGACTAAGTTCGATAATGAGCATTTTCTGCTAAGAGTAAGCAGGGCAATAATCAATTTGATTGGCCAAGACTTTGTAACACAATAACTCTCTTTCTAATTGAGCTAGAATGTTCATACTTGGTGTAGGTGTTTATTAGGTCAATGCCTTTATGGAGTTCGAAGATGAGCATTTTCTGCTTTGTGTAAGCAGAGATAAGAAATTTGATTGGTTGATGCTTTGGGACATGATGACTTTAGTTCTGATTAAGTAAGAGTGATGAAACTTGGTGTATAGTTTCGTTACATCAATACCTTGACTAATTTCAATAATGAGAATTTTCTGCTTAGGCTAAGGAGCGATAAACAATTTGATTGGTCAAGGCTTTGGAACATAACAACTCTGCTTTTAATTGAGGTAGAATGTTTAAACTTGATATAAATGTTCATTTGGTGAATGTCTTGACTGAGTTCAATGATTAACATTTCGAGCTAAAGCTAAGCAGAGCAAAGCAATTTCATTGGTTGATGCTTTGGGACAAGATAACTTAGATTCTATCTGATAATGTATAGTTGAATGATAATCAGTTTGATTGCTGGATACTTTTGAAAAAAAAAAAAATGTGCGATTAATTAATATGTGTCATCTATTCATTTGGGATTTCGGCGGGGGACATCAGCCTCACTGTTGGCATGTTTTTGTTGGGATCAGGTTTGGTGGACTCCAGATTCGGGAGTAAAATACAATTACTCGCTCAACATTTATGCATAACCAGAAGATGCGCCCATATCAAGCTTTAAAGAATTTGTTTTTATATACTACCTTTGCACGACCTGTCAGAACACAAATAACACAATTATCTTAATACTGAGTTAATAAGATATCCACTCAAAGCATCAAAATACGCCCACACAGCAGCTATGTCTCGAAAGGAGCTTATCCGAAAGGAAAACTTTGATATTGACCAAATTAGCACAAAAAAAGTCTGATTTGCGTTATGTTCACAAGATTGAAAAATCTGTTGTATCTCTCGCGTTTACAAGGCTTGTTGCAAAGGGGGATAACTCTGGAAAGATAAGTCAAAGAACGCTGAAGTGAATATTGAAAGGGTTTATCCTCTCAAAACCACAATGCTTCCCACCAAATTTGAAAAAGATCCGATAAAATCTAGAACCTCTATTACGTCCATAAGGTTTTTTGAAAAGGGCGTATAACTTTGAAATTTGAAAAGAATCTGTTAAAAACTATAACTTATATTGCATTTACAATTTTTTCTGCAAAGGGATAACTCTGTAACGGAACGTCACAGAATGCTGAATACCTATAGAGTTCATGGTCTCATATGGCCCCAATGCTTCCCACCAAATTTGAAAAGAATCCATTAAAAACAGTAATCACAAAGTTTTCGGCAAAGGTGGATAACTCCAGAATCCAAAGTCGTAGAACGCTGAATATTTATAGGGTTTATCCACTTATCAGCCCAATGTTTCGAACCAGTTTGAAAAAAAAACTGTAGCCTCTATCACGTTCACAAGGTTTTTGGCACAGGGGGATAATAATTACGGAACGCTGAAAATCGATTAGTATCATCTTCTCACGACCCCAATGCTTCTCAACAAATCTAAAAAAATCCTAAAATCTTAGACAAAAGTCCCCAAAATGTTTGGTTTATCAACATGGATGTGCTTTGAACTGGTCAAACCTTTTAAAATATCCAGATTAGTTAATGTTATTTCTGAGAATTACTTACAAACGACGTCATCGTTGTGAAGTAATGTTAAAGGAGACTATGAAAAATTAAATTTTTTCTAATTATTCAATATTTGTCCGTGTATACTTGTTTATAATTGAAATGATTTGGGGTTTGACGTGTTACTTTTCTGCACCAACCAATCAGACAGAGACACTACTCTTATTTTGAATTCTTTAACGTGCACGCAGGTGTGTACACAGGACCTTGGTTTTTTCTTACCATCCAAACGACCAGACCATGTTCCTTGCCAGGCTCTGTCACCCTCGCATTGGACACATAATCTTATACTGTTTCTCTTGTTAGTAAATGTAAGCTAGATTAAAATTATTTGTTTTGTTTGTAAATGTATATATATTATTTGTCCTATTGTTATGTATGTACATGTTTATATTGTATGCTGTCCTTAATGGATGTTTCGGTATAATTAAATCTTATCTTATAATTTCTTTTTGATATGTCAGCCTTAAATTACTGAAGTATCACATTCCATTCAACAGATGAGTAAGTTCATGGATTGAGTGTTTTAATCTGAATTCAAATGTGTAGAATCCCGATTCTTGTACCCCGGAACATAATTTGCGAGCACACTGAACTTAGCCTCTACACACAAACATCAAAGCAGAATTCTTACTACCCAAAAAATGTTCAGTTGTATTTTGCTCCCCATGAACCCCAATTCTTTTAAAAGTAACATAATTGTTTATCTTGATTTTCAAATGTTTTTATCTTTCTAAAACTATAAATGAATGTATAGAAATAATATTGAAGACAGATAGAGAACATTCTATTGACATATTACACGATCATGTCTAACATTCATACGGTTTTCATATTTATTAACATAATATTGACATCCGGTGACGCTCGTCTTTTCGTCTTCTTTCATCATTTGAACATAAACATTAGTCATTTAACACAGCTGCCCCATTTTACTATAATCCTGTGTGATCAATGACAAACTTTTAAAATAAAAACTTGACATATCTGTTTATTCTTGCCAATAGATTTAGAAACTATACTTTATGAAGGCAGTTAATAAAAGTATAACGCGTGCAGTCGCTGCCCTGGCAAAGATCTGTGTATATCATGATCGGGGATGTGGTTGCATATAATATTAGTATTTTGTCATAGTTATTAAATCTTTGTGTAGCTGGCTGTGAAATATTTTTTTCAGATCTACGTATGATGATTGAGTGTCAGACGTAAAGATGAGAAGAATAAAAGCCCGGAAGTATACATGTATACACTGGAAAAAAACTTGTGTTGAAAGAACACAAACTTGTGTTAAATTCAACACAAGTTAGGTGTCTCTATTTAACAACACAAACTTGTGTTAAAACAACACAAAACTTGTGTTAAATGTTGAAACAACACAAAACTTGTGTTAAAATGTATCAAACAACACAAAACTTGTGTTAAAATGTATCAAACAACACAAAACTTGTGTTGAAACTTGTGTGAAATCTACACAATACTTGTGTTGAAACTTGTGTTGAAATTTCTGAAACTTGTGTTAAAATTTCTGAAACTTGTGTTGAAATTTCTGAAACTTGTGTGGTTTCATACAAACTTGTGTATAACCATCATCAAAAACTTGTGTTGTATTTTTCCCCAATTTATATCCAGCATAGCAACCTTTCTATGCAGGACCCCTCTCTTTGCTCTGTTAGACCTGTAAAGTTTGATAAAAGAAGGAAACAAAAAAAAAATTTGTAAGATTATTATTTATTCATAAAATCATAGGAAAAAGTAAATTAATACATCAAAACTAAATAGATATTTGAAATGTTAACAGAAAAACAGAGACTTCAATTCTAATACAAATTATGTTGTGTTATATATAATGACCCCTCCCCCCCCCCCCCCACTTTACCCATCACAAAATATAAAATAGCTATTTAAATTGTTCTTTACCCCAAAACAAGAACTGAGAATATAAAGATATGTACACAGTATCCCTACCCCATACCCCAAAATATATAATTCAAATATATCTAAATTTAATAACATCCAAACTAAGCACTAATAAGATTAATTATGCACTAAATTGAAACAATTTCAAAAACTGAAAAATGCTACAAAATCACACTACAAGTGATTTGTGAGGCATCTAGAAATAACTAGCATACACAGAAAACTAACAAAAGAAAATTGCTCTATTTTGCAGGAGTAATAAAATGATGTAGAGCCTTTTCCTCATTAAAAAACCCCCAAACAAAATGAATATTTTATAAATAAAAGAAGCAAAGCATCAAGATTACAGGATTGAAATAAAAAAATATCATATGTACAAAAGATTTATATACAATCACAAGTCATAAGCCACAGTGGTTCAGTGAGCATAAGGCGTTGGCCGCGAAATTTCAACTGGATTTTCCGGCATAGTTCCCACTTTTCAGTGTTGGATATGGCAAGGGATAATTGGGTACAAGCCCAGAATCAAAAGAGAGAGAGACAGAGAGAAATGGGGTTTAACATCTACTCGACACAAACTAGATCATTTTGGGATTAACATATGGTTTAATTTTATTTCAATAATTCGCTAGCGCGTAGGGGTCTTTAGCAGTGGGAGGAAACCGGAGGTCCCGGAGAAAACCCACAAGATTGGACAGGCGACCCTACTCCTTGTCTACAACCGGGGATTCGAAACCATGCCAGTTGACTCAATGACAGGAGGCCGTATGATACAGCATGCACGTGCTAACCATTCGGCCATCCACCCCCACCCCCCAGAATTGAAACCAACCCAACTGCGTACACTTTGAAGAACCCTTGAAAATTGAATTATTTGAATCAATGACAGACCTTCTGATCAAATGTGTGCGTGTTAACCATTCGGCCCCCCTGGGTACCCTTTAAAGAACCCTTGACAGTTGAAATATTTGATATAAAGGTAGGGTAGAATCACTCTAAGAACACAGAAAAGCAGGATATTAAAACGTATTTCATTTCATAAGCAAGGGAAAGTCACCTTAATGTAGGTCAAGGTTTTTTGTAATTCTGGGTGTATTTGATCTACATTTGGTTTCTAGTAATGCCTATTAAATACTTTATGATTTCCGACCAAATTCTAAGTGATTTATATGTCAGTTTACTTGCTATATTATACATACATATTTGAAGAGAATTAAAATCTAATTGTGTTTTGGAAGAAAATTTAACATTAATAACAAAAAATAAATATTTAAAAATTGGGTCAAATGCATTCTTTCCCAGAAGTATAAAATAAATTGATGCTTGGGTTCTCTTGTTGTTATCATACACCAAATACTCTTTCAAGGGTGTTCCAGCCTAAAAAATAAAAAGTAGGCAATAAGAATACGATGTTTAAATAAACAATTTATTTTGCCACATCGAGACTGAGTCTCTATTTGGTTTCAACTTTGCGTAACGCTTATTGTGTCTTGTCCACTTAAAGACCCAGGCAGATTATTATGCTCAAATCAAATGGGTTAAAAGTCAGAAAAATGAAATGAAATGGGGTTTAACGTCCTACTGTTCTGCTCCTATACTGGGCTAATAATGACGGGCATATGCCACACAGTGTGCTATGAGGGAATTTTTGCCCGGGCAGCGGCACTATCATCTATTCTTATATCGAATTCCAACTGCCAGGGGATCTTTTACGTGCATTCCAATATTCGTCTCATCGGGAGGACTAGACAGCTGTCATTGTCAGGCCAAGTCAGAAAAAAGTCTTGAGATTTGGGACTGAAGTCTCATAATAGGTCAACTATTCACCCGGTTCATACATGTATTGTCTGCAAATCCAGATTCCCTACTACATCATTGGCAGCACCTATTTACTTGGCAATGTCTAATTATTTTTGGACCCATTCTTATTTTATTTCCATTGACAACAAATTGGATATTACCCTTTAAAATCTATTGAAATCTATTTGAAAAGTAAAATATTGTCCATCATTATTTTACTGCTATTTACTGTAATGGATGTGATTGGCAAAAATCAAGCATGCCAAGTACTTGAAATAGCTGAGTCCTAGGCATTGCCCCAAGAAGAATAACTAGATTACCAAGCAAGTGTATAGAACTAGTTGATGATTAAAAATACAAATATGTATGTTACTTACATTTTACCTGATTATCAAGCTCTGTGAGAAAAAGTTTCCATAATATGAATAGCCATTTTCAACTGTCTTGATCTTTCTGATGTAGTTAACGGAGAAAAAAAACATACTATGTATTAGTTGACTTAAATCGACTCGACAGTTAAAAGATGAAAGTTTTAATTTAATTACATTGTATTGTAATGTGTTGGTTTGCTTTGTCACAGATGAGACAAAATGAAAAAAATGAAATGGAATGGGGTTCGGCGTCCTACTGTTCAGCTCCGACTGGGCTAATGAGGTTGGGCATATGCCATACAGTGTGCTATGAGAGAAATTTTGCCGGGTACCGTGACCCTAAGGCCTACTCTTGTATCAAATTCTAACTGCCAGGGGCTATTTTACATGCACGCCAATGTGTACACGGGACCACGTTTTTTTGTTCAATCTGAACGACTAGACAGCTGTCCTTGTAAGGCCCTCCGTTCTGCATTGTCTTACTGCAAACCCGCGACCTTAAAATATGCGAACCAGTGTCTAACCCACTTGGTCACCGTAGGTCCCCACAGATGAGATAGTCATATCTACATGTATCTGGACATAAGTAAGATTCTGTCTGTGCACATACATGTACTTCACAGTTTTACTATACTAAACTGAATTTTAAATTCCAAATAATAAAATGAAATTAAGGTTTATGTCACATCAGCTCCAACCGGGCTATATTGTGCCAAACACATTATGGTGAGATTCTAAAATACCACAACAACAATCTTTTCTATTAGAATTGAACACTCACCCTCAAAAAACAACTATGAGAAATCATAGGTGCTCAAATCACCATTTCTTCAGCTCTTTTTTTCCCATATTTGGGTTTTTTGACTTATTTTATTATATGATCTTTGATTTGCTATGGCATCTAATATGGAAACTGAAAAATATAAATATGTGACATGTAATTAACTGTTTAAGATACCTTACCATATACAAACTGTGTGATATCTAAAACCATTTGAATCCCGAAGATCTTACCGAAGCCGTGAAAATCTGTTTTAATAACCCTTGTTTGTCATGTGACTGGACTGTCACAGTAATTAGAAGAGAGCCATGTGGCTTAGTGTGTAAGGCACTGGCTTGCTACCCGGGAGTTTGTAGGTTTGCTCCCAGTGTTGACCGAGAAAGCTCATTTGGATTTTTTAGCATGGATTCCCTGTCTAGTCGTCATGGTGACTAAGTGGGTAAGACGCTGGCTCGCTAGCCTGGAGGTAGGGTGTTCGATCCCTGCATTGGCCGAGAAAGTTCACCCAGATTTTCCGGCGTGGTTCCCCCTTGTCAGTGATGCAGGATGGAGGGCCTGACAAGGACAGTTGTCTAGTCATTCGGATGATACGAAAAAACGAGGTCCCGTGTACACGTTGGCGTCCACGTAAAAGATCCCTTGACAGTTGGAATTCGATAGACCGCAGTGCCGCTGTCCGGGCAAAATTTCCCTCATAGCACACTGTGTGGTGTATGCCTGTCTTCATTAGCCCAGTTCGGAGCAAAATAGTAGGACGTTAAACCCCATTTCATTTCTAGTAGTTTCAATGGAACACAAAACCTGAGGTCCAATTGGCGTGCATTTAAGCCGATAGTATGGTAGTTGGAATTTGTTGGCTGTAGCACCCGTGTCACAGTTCGACTGCTAGTTTGTGATACCCACTCGATATAAATGAGTGGTGATTGGCTAATGAATTCTAAAATCAGACGAATGCTTCGGCGAAGCGGACAGCAGGACACACCACTCAAATACAATTCGACCAAATATATTAAACATGTTTGATTCGGGCGTATGTCAGTGGATAAACTAGGTGAAGTTTAGCGCCAATTGATTCAGCCGAATCCTTTGGCTAGTTTATCCAGTACTGACGATTTAAGTTTGTACTTTCTTTATATGCAAATATCACATTTGAAAGAGGCTGTAGGCCTACTTTCTTTATATGCAAATATCTTATTTGAAATAGGCCATTATTATGTGATTCCCCACTTGAATGTGACTAGGAATAAGGTCGCCTGTCCAGCCTTGTGGGTTTTCTCCGGGTCCTCCGGTTTCCTCCCTTTGCTAAATACCTCTAGGGTGTATTCGAAACAGTGTTCCGGTGCAGAGAACGGACGGAGAATGGGTTCTTGTCGGACTTGAGCAGTCTGGAATGCGTTCACGAACACGTTCCCGTTCTCAAATCCCACACTACCTCATAGCTGGTGTGAGGGAGAACAAACATGGTCGACGCATCGATAACTGCTGAGAAAACAGCATCATGGGTGCATTTATTAATTTAAAAGTTTAATACCGTTCGAAAATTGGATGTAGTATGTGGCCAGTATAACATCAAATAAGTTAGGTTGCCAGGCAACGAAACATATGCCCACAGCAGTTTAATCGTTTGCTCAGTCAACAGGGATTGTCGCATATTCATTCTTTTGTAGGTAATGTGGGCATTTACAAGAAAAGATTATAATTTTTGTCGTTTGTGGGTTTACAAAGGTTCTACAAACTGAAACAAGGGCCTTAATTGTTGAAATTTGACAGATTTTTTTGTTTTGTGTTTTACTAATTTAAATAATGCATACAAATCGGATGATAATTTTGTTGTTCGCGCGTCCACAAGGTTCGAAAAAGTGAAACAAGGGCCACAACTCTAGACATAATTCACGGAAATCGCAGAAATTTAATAGATGTCTTCGTTTTACTAATTTAAAAGATGCAAATGCATTTCACAAAGTGAAACAAGGGCCATAACTCCAGAAGAAACTAACGGAAATTATTGAAATTAAATAGGATTCATCTCATTAAAATAAACAACATATCAATTTCAAAATAATCAGGTCTGTAGACGACGGACAAACCTACGGACGAGGGCGATGACAATATGCGACCACATTTCCATGTGGGCGTATCAAAAGGTGATGTAATCGTCATCCAAAGAATTGAAAAGGAGTAAAATGGAGTCATAATTTATCATAAGTATGCCTAATAGCGAAGTCAATACCAAACAAGTTATCGTAACAGATTGTATAAATTTAATTCATCTTGTTACCATGGATACCGTTCTCTCATGTTCGAGACTCATGAAAGTGTTTTCATGTTCTTCAGCCGTTCTCGAACCTGCGCGAACACTGTTTCTAATACACTCCTACGGTACGCGCAAGCAAATCATTCAAATAAAATTGAACAATATTAGCCTCAAAATTACCTAGCGCCAGTAAGTATAAAGGATCTATCCGACAAACACTAACAACAACTCTAGGTTTATGCAGAATTAATATAACACAACATACACAGATGGCAATAGAATGAGACAGTGTTCAGGAAAAGGGCGGAAACGGAAGAAGACTACCCGTCCTACTTGATTCTAGGACATAAAGCATGGGCCTACTTGATTCGACCTTGTCTGCGATATCACCTCGGTGGAAGCGGACGTAAAATACAACTAACCCATCATTGATTCGACCAATTTAATACAAGGAAATGAATGGCATAGTTTGTGTCAAGTGAATTTAGTGAATTTTAAACCCCATTTACTCGCCCTCTCTCTACAGAGATAAATACTTTTCCTGTTACATACAATAACAATTATTGGCCATTATTTAAAAAATATATTAAAAGGAAATGAAATTCTGTTACCTGTTTTTCTTTGTGTAGTACATATGCTAACATCAATGACTGGAAAAAAAATAACGAAACTGTAGAGAAACTTCTGAATCATTGAAAGTCTAATTATTAGGCCTACACATTGATGACATTGATATAAAAAAAAGGCTGATTTGTTTGTTGTTGTTTTTTTCTTTTACAGAAATATTAAGATTACATTTCAAATAAACAACTAACACAAAAGTTAGTATCTAGCTATAGTCCATGTCTGGATATACATTTCTCCTTTTTTTTGGCCCGAACGTCTATAAAAATCAAAGATGGCGGCCAATAATTGCAACCGGGCATTACTATAAAATCAAAACAGATTCTTACCTGCTGGTCCTAGTCGGGGGTTTCTTGCAATTATAAGTATTTGAACAACGGTGTAGCGCCGATTAGCTAATAATAATTAAGCACGATTTCAGAAAAATTAAGACAGATTCATTAGATTGCTGAATTAGCGGAACACTTTTAGAACACATCAAAAAAAATTTCTTTGTGGCGCCATTATATAAATAGAATTTCGGTGCAGTCAGTGGCAGTGGTTCTAAATCTGACTGTTTTAAACGAAACGAATTATTATATACATACAAGCAATATATACATGCTAAATTAAATACACGGTTTTATTTTTTGTAAAAATTTACAAACCTGCGGTCTGGTATTCTATGTGACCATTATAATTTTTTTTTTAAAAATATCACGGCTAAAGCACTCTGTTGATGCTAACGTCACTACATCTAACTGAATGTCGCTGATATAATATCAAAGAAAGAATTTGTCGCAATGACTAAAGTATAGATACTTCTTCTTAGTTAGTTGTATTTTACGCCCGCTTCCACCGAAGTGATATCGCAGACAAAAAGTATAGATAACTTGGAGAACCATTATATCAATAAGTCGATTATGAGATACACGTGGATGATCAATTAAATTTGATTGGTTACTTTTCAGTTAACCAATACTGTCCAATTTCGATTACATCAACCAATTACATTATTAAGAGTTTTACTCATTTTTTTTGTTCATTGCACATTGAATCAATTTTCGAAAACACCAGGGTGCTGAAAATCACATGTACACTATATATTCATTTGGTCTATCAGTTTATTGGGTCAATAAAAAAAGACAGACATTTTAACTATACAGACAACTTAACACCAATTAACATTCAAGTCTGTCTGGCAATTGTCTGATTAATTGGTACTCACTCCCTTCCAGTGATTTTCGAGATGTGAATTAAGCCCTTTATTACTTTTCTTAAAACTTGACGACTCCCGAATTCAGACTTTGTATGGAGTTTTTTTCTTAAAAAGAAAACAAATCGTGGAAGGTACACATTACTTGTGTTAATGATATGAAAAAACACACAAGATTTTATAAATCGACACAAGTTTGTGTTAATGCAATGCAAAACAACACATAACTTGTGTAGATTAGTTTTAACACAAGTACTTGTGTTGAGATCCAACACAAGTGTTTTTTCAGTGTACATAATAGCAACCCACTGATCTGTTGAAACTGCATGCAATTAAGGGTTAACAATCTGTTGAAACTACATGCAAGGGTTAGCAAGTTCATTCTGAGCATATTAGTTTGTATGTTTGCGCGATGAGGTGGAATTTTTCTCGGACTGGTGTTTCCAACTATTAAAATAACCCACCCGATGGACTAAACACACATTCTCCGTCACATGCGGGACATCTGAGAATGGAGAGTCGGTCTTGGAAGATTCCTGAAATCCCAGAGATACGAATCCAAGATATTCACAGAACAATATTTTATCAAAATTTATTTCTTCTTCATTATAATCTCCTGTGTTAGATATACACTAGATAATAATTTTATCTATACAATATAGATCCATGTACATGTTGGATGAATAACTGAAGACTTGAAAGGAGCTAGTTCACCTGTAGGTATATTATTTGCGGAAATTGTCCGATAAGGATGGAAATAATGAAGAAAGGAGTTTGTTGAATGCGTGGTTGTGTTTCGCCGGTATTTTTTACCAAATGGTGATAATAGAAAGATACGGATGGGTTGCTTTTATGTACTAAAGGTAGTTAATTGAATTTTAACCAGTATACGTTGTCCGAACTAAACCTCTAACTCGTAAACAAGATTTGTCAATCATTGATAAGCATATCTCGATCTGTTTAATGAGGGGGGGTCAAGTCATATATTAAACAAGTACATGACTAAAGCAACGGTAACGTTTGAACAAGCTTAATAAAACCAATGAGAAAATCATTGTCCTTTTCTAATATATACAAAGCTATTCATTTATCTCTTAATATCGTCTACAGAAAACTTGACTTTGAATAGTGAAGATAATGGGACTATTAACCTTAAGAGACACGCGTTGATCGTTGATATTTCTGTGATAATATCTGGAGTTCAACCTATCATCGAACGACCGTTAATATTAATATTGCATGATATATGCCTTCGGGGCAATTACTAGTTTATTGCTAAATTCTTTTCGACCACAAAGGTGAGTGTTTTACAGCTATAATTATTTGTATTGTCTTTTAGTTTATATGCGATTCTGTATCTGTGCCGTGCAGCATAAAGGTACGAAAGCACAATTTTGTTTAAATTTGTATTGGGGTTTCTATGTTGTCTTTGCAATGCATGAAATGTGTCATAATATAAATCGAAAATGTATATAGAACAACGACTGCCGACACATGATAGATATACCAATATGTACGCGCCAGAAAATCTTCAGAATATGGATCCGAGAGAACTAGTCCATGATGTAAATATAAACTGTTTCAATGTAAATATACTTAATTTACAAATAGATCTATAAGAAGTGACGCCGCAATTTGTAAAGTTTACTGAAATACATTCTGATTCCCCCATTCAAATAGTGACTCATTCCTTTTAGAAGCAGTGCATATTAAAGTCACACATGATTCATTTGTCTCTAAAATCATTTTGACGATGTTTTCTAAAACAGAACTATAGTCTGAAGTATTTTATAAATTACACCAGATAAATTTAAAATGTTTCATTACTCAATATCAGTATACAACGTTTCATTAATATACGTTCAACTACATGTTATTAATATACACAGTTTTTGTACAAAATATCAATTACAATGTTTAATGTGTGTGAAATAGCTTTATTTAACGTCTGCTTTCATCGAAGTGATAACGCAGACAATGTGTTAGTTGTATTTTACGTCCGCTTCCACCGAGGTGATATCGCAGACAAGAGACAATGTTTAAATGATATAACCTCTAATATACCATAATATCAATATACACGATCCCAATATATATATGTCAATATATAAAGTGTCTGTAATATACGCTCCGATACATCTTACTTATATACACAGTTTCAAGATACGGAGTTTCAGTAATATACATTCCAATACATCTTATTAATATACAAAGTTTCAATAAACAATTTCAATACACAATATCGATATTCAACGTTTCATTTATATACATGTTACATTCCAATATACAATGTCCATATGTGTATATAACGTTCTAGTGATATAAATGTTAATATATATTATATTAATATACAAAGTTTCAACATGCAGTAATAACATGCAAAGTTTTATTGCTCGTTATCATTATACAAATCATTCAAATACATTTGATTAATATACAATGCTTCAATTCACGATATTAATATATGCACAGTTTTAATACATTGTAAAGCATTAACATACAGATATGCCTTGCTTAAATTATGCGATACCAAATTCACACTGCGTATATACAAATAATTTGTAATATGCAATGTTTCAGTAATATGAAACGGCCAAACAAACATCAGAAAAATTCTGTCCAGTTTTAATACATTCCAAAGCAGTGAAATGTTTATAACAATTTATGATAGCTGATCAAGTCGAGCCCTCTAAGGCTTGCATTTCGGTCAAATTCCGAAGATTTTCACTGACACTTGGTCTAAGCTACTTTGTGTCAACGTGACGATAACCTTTCTTTAATCGACTGGACACCTTTATTTACGCCGTAAATGGACATTTAGACACGGTCATTCTGCTGGTTTTCAGTTGGGGAAAAGGGACACAAAAATGTAGATGGCTGGTCGATCAAGACAGTCGTATTATCGGATTTAGTTTAAGCTGATGTTTGCCAACCTTCGTGCCTCTTCAACTTTCTGTACAAAATATTCCGTTAGAGACCAGCCTGTCGACCATGTCATCAGTAAATAGTCCATATATCGTCTGTGTATTGACACGACCCTCCAAATACCCTGACCAAATGTACCTGATCTTTTAGTCGCGATGGTCTATATGAACGTTTATTAAAAATGTGAAAAACGTTTTATCTGAAGTGAGATTTTTTTTTCTGGAATACATCCTCGACAGCTGTTAAAAGACAATATGACGATTACACAAAGGTATTTCAGTTATTGGAATATAAAATTATTTCGATTTTTTTTTCTGTGTGTGTTTTGTTTTTGGGGGGGGGGGTTTGTTTGATATTAAATGTTGTTTCTTTTGCAGAGTTGTGTATGTCATTATTTGTTTATTCAAATACGTCTTTGGAGCTTAAAATTTTATCGCTTCAGTAGTTTATGAATAATCCAAACAATTGTCAGATTAATGACTGAATATTAATTATTTGTGTAAGTCGGTCATCTGTTCACCTGACAATGGAGGGAAATTAATATATTAATTAACAGCACTGCATATTTTATTAGCAGTCCAGACGTGTTTCATTTTGAAAACATATAAAGTTCTTTTATTAAGAAATATTTAGTGCGGAACTGATTACATTTTGATACGGTTTATTAACTTTATCGATTTTTTTTAACAGCAATAATGTGTTGAAATGTTGAGATGATCATACATGTATAGATGGTATCCCGATATATATACTTCAATTTATTATCACCATCTATACCATTATACATTACACCGCGCTTATACAGCAATTATTACACATAAGGCTATCAAAATCGATTTTTATGTTCAAATGAGTTCCGGGTTTCCTTTCTTGTAACTATCGGATTATTTGTTTTTTTAAACTGTGACCTTCTATATTTGTTTTTCATTGGGAATTTATAAAGGTAAGTTACTGTTTCACAATTTTTCAGTGTATATAGGAACCCAGGGTTAGTGTGTTGACGATTTGTGGTAGACTGCAGGTTTCCCAGAATGTCTTTTTCTCGGAGTAAAAATAAAGTAGCAATGTATTTTTGTATATTTAAGAATTATTTTATGTACACTTACAGCTCGTTGTTTAAATCTCGATGAATATATACTGTTAGGACTTCTTCCATAACGAACGACTCACCTAACCTATCCATGATATAAGCAGGGGGATAAACGAATTTTAAAAGGTATGTGCCTATAAGAGCACCCCTCTGTGGGTCTCTGCCGCATATATAGCTATATATTAAAGTTTATTGGATACTGGGTTAGCAAGTGCTTAGTAATTTCTCACGCCATGTACAAAAATATGCATGATCATAATTATTATATCACAGATTATTTTAACTTTTGAGTATATAACATAATAACGATGTATATCATATCGATATTTTAAACACGTGTGTTTGTGTGCATTTTGACATGGGTCCATACAAATTCCTGAACATTCGTTTTGATAACTGATCTAGATGATCAAGCATATAGACCACACAGAATAAACACGTGTATTTAGGCAACCAGACAAACATTTGTCCAATCTCGTCCAATTACGAATTGATTTTTTGTTTTCTTTGTGACGATTTTTCAAAAAAAAGGTGCATATGGCGTCCTATATAAATCAAAGACATTTCATGTGTTTTTATTGAAGTCATTTTTTTTTATTTATTTAAAGAAATAGAAAGGTGCGTTGAAATTGTGTACATATAGGAGTCTGCGATAACAGTATACACAGGTGTCTCTCTAAACCCACTAGCCGAAACGGCGCGCTTTGTGAGTAATGGGGGTTGTTTACACCCAATCAGAAATATTATACTTAAAATTCAACAAATTCACTATATCTGTGGCATATTTTTAACGCCTTGTCGATTTTGCTATGTTTATTATATAGACTGTGTATATATAGCCTTTGGGTTAATGTTGTCTGCTTGTTGATGTAGGATGGATCGGAAAAAATTGCAACTTTAGAATGTGCTGATCCAGATCCATTCACTTGATTAGATAGTATTTTTAATATACTAAACAGCAAACAAAAAAAAACGTCAGTACGGTTTCAAAATCAGAGAGGCACTTTAATCAAATTATCCTAGAAAACGGCTTACTGAATGGATGAAAGCATTTTTTGTGAACAGATCAGGGATTAATTCATCACAATTCCAATACTTTACGAGAAGGTTTAGAGTCTGTATCAGAGGCCGCGGAGCGATTTCCGAAGTGGGAGGTCTGACAATAATAATTGAGGGACGAAGTCTGGAATTCGAAGCGTCGCGTATTGACGTGAGGGCGTATTGCTGGAAGCTTCCGGCGTGGGGTTTGGGGCCCTTTAGCGGGTCCCAAGAAAATTTTGAAACTTTGATGTGATTTTTTGCATTTTTAAGTAACCCAAAACCCTCCTGCTATCACGAAAGAAAAGCTGATCATGACTTACCACTCATGTTATCCCTGACGAAAACAATGGCAGTTATAATTATTATAAATGTAGAATGGGACGAAATAACGAAATCGGGTCTAAGTCCGATTCTACTGTAGAAAGTCCCCAGTAACTCTGGCGGTGTGGGCACGGGCGTTGTCATGCTGGCAAACGTTGTTTCGATGACGTACGAAATGTGATATGACGTGGGGTCTGAGAGCTTGATCGATGTAGCACACTGCTGTGATGCCGCCTCCTCTCCCTGGACCAAGATTTTGGAACACCACAGGACCCACTCTCTGGTTCAGGCCAATTCCGCCCCAAACCACTATGCTTGGACCTCCCCATGAGTCTCGTTCCATGACACATTGGTCAGAATAACGCTGGCCACGTCGACGCCATATTCTGGTTCTGCCATCTGCAGATGATACGCAATACCGACTCTCATCTGTGAACAGAACAGTTCTCCATTGCCTGTGTCGCCAGTTCTGGTGTTGTTGTGCAAACTGTAGAGGGGTGAGGATCTGTCTACGGTAAGGTCTACGGCAATGGATGTTCTCTCTGGTGAGACGTCGGCTCACTGTATCGGTATACTGATGGGTCTTCCGTGTGTTCCCACTGTCTGCCGTGCTGTCTCAGATGCCCGTGTGAAGGGATTATGCACGTACTGTCCATGACGGTCTTGTCGCCTTGTGGTAACCCTTTGTCTACCAGTTCGGGGCGATCATCCGTGGTGTTGGTGGCCTGGAAGCGTTGCTGAAGCCTATAGATGGTCCGAACATTGACATGGAAGTGATTGGCAACGGCGTCGAGTCTTCCAAGCGCCTGGTTCCTCTGTGCTGTCGTGAGTCGTGGTATGCTGCTGACGTTGTAGTGTGAATGATTCAACCAGGTATGGGGGTTCATTTTATAGGGTGGTCCCGGTGAACAGCACGTGCAGCATCTCAGAAGTCAGATTGCGTTTTTGAGAACATTTCCTGGGTTCAATTCTGTGTTTGGGAAGGAGCCTTATTGCTCAGGTAAAGTTGGAGATGTGGTCACAAATATACTATAAAAACATTTGGCAAGTTTTATGCAATGCGTCTATTCAGAGTAACATACCAACCTGACGTTTCTTTTGCTGCTTAGTATACTTACTTAAAACATAGATATGACGTCACCCTTTGATGTTTTTAACCATTATATAGGAGAATGTACGCTTTTCTTAAACAATCGTCTATTATTTATAAAACTGTCCATAAAATAATGGACAGTTTTATAAATAATAGACGATTGTTTAAGAAAATACCAATAATAGACACGTATCTGAAAAATGTATTTTGGGATAATTTATTCTCTGAACAAATTAAATTACAGAACATGAAATTACTTTAAAACCTCATAGTTACCGAAATGTCACATGACCGAATGTTGATTTCACGTGTTTGTCTACATAAAGAATTCCACTTAAATCCGTCCGTTATATGTCACTTATCCGTGTAATACGTTCGGCACTAGATCGATGATACGTTTTTATACGCCCACATTTTCACATCTTCTTTGTGGACACTCTACAGGTCATAACTTGAAATATAGGTATATATCCCAAAGATCTCGGTTCCTTTCGATATTGGCTTGTATGGGACCGTGGATTACGGCCCCTGACTGTACACACTAGAGGTCACAATTATTAGCCCATTTTGGTGAAACTGAACATGTGTGTTTATAATCCAAAGATATCGATTCCTTGCGATATTGGTGCATCGTACCGTAACTTCCTGGATTATGGGCCCGGGTTGAACAAAAAAAAAACGTGTTTTGAGCCTGTGGAACCTATGCAGGTCACAATTTTTATCCGATTATAAAAAACGTTCAAATATATCACCATTACACCATAATGACAGTTGAGTTTGAATTTCGTGAATTGGTTTGTGCCTTTGATCCTGTGTAATGTCACTTATATCAGAGTATATATTAAATTTTAAATCGAAATTGGGACGGCTAGTACCCTCCATATTAACCACAGTATTAAGAAAATTATCAATATCTAAATTATTCTCGTGAGCAGCCTTTCCATCACAACTTTGGCGGCTATTACCCCCCACATCAAGAACATCACAATTTTTACGGCTATTATCTTCCATATCGAGTACATTACCAATGTAATCAGTATCCAAATGCTTATCACATAAATGCTTATCACATAATATATTCTCATTATTAATACATGTATTTGTTTTCGACTGGTGTTGTAAACATGTTGTCTCCATGTAGAATATTTTGGACTGTCCGTGTATGCTTGCTTTGTATGACTGGAGTTTTTTGTCACATGCGTTCATGAGCATGTGCATGTTGTTTTGAGAATATATCCATTATTTTTAATATTTTTATGGCTTGTTGTTTTATAAAACTATCCATTATTTGTATCTCTATGGTGCTATGTTTTAAGTTTGATAATAGCCTCAGACTGTCCTTTATGTAAATACAAAGAAAAACTTCACCAGTTCTAAGTTGCTTAAAGATGCATTATGTAATATTTAGATAAAGAACTGTCAGTTCTCGCTATAATAGTGTTAAAAAATAGATTATGGAAAGGGAATATGTTGAAAATTTTAGTCAAATTACTTCATGCTGAGCGGAGTTATGGTCGTTTGAAGAACAGTTTAGTCTCGGTTGTCATTGCTACCGCTGTTACGATGATTAATAAACAAAGTCTCGATAATCCATTTTTTCATTAAATCATTAACTGACAATCGTGTTTAAATCCGTTGAAAAACTAAACCCTCCGATGAACTGGAGGGTTGATTTTGGGCTTGACATGTGAATAAATGTCTAATTAAGGATTTATATAACATCTAAGGCCAAACGAAAGATCTGCATTAGGCAGATTTACATAATAGATCTTTAACACGGTGAAGTCAACATAACATGGGTAACAGCATTTTAAACTGTGCCAAATAAAATCAGACATCATTCTAATCTTTTAAGATATCTGCAGGCTGTTTGGTTCCAAGCTCTTCTGTTAAGCCGCATATTATAAATGTTTACATGGTCAAATAACGATATAGCACAAGATTCCAGATAACTTTTACCAGAAATGCAATGATTAATCACAGTTACAAAAAGCTGTATAACCATGCGCAATTCTTGATACGAAAATACGTAAGCTGTGACTGGAGAAATGTTGTGAAGTCTTTAAACCTTTTATAAACCTCCTATGCAAGTTTCTGTAACATTGACATTCAACTGGTGCTAATCAGCTTAATTTTCCTAGCCGCTGTGAAAAAAGAAATATGACAGATAAAGATGGCAGATAAAAAGCCAACAAGCTGGTTATCGTTTCTTACGAGTCGAACGTCCTGAATGGATACCTGCGTGTAAGTAAATATATGAATCGATTAGACCCGCTTTGTTTAACAGACAACGTCCTCCCATTTCTTTCAGCCGCGATGGTCGTGCCAGGGTCAAACGCTGCGTTTGGTCTGCTGCCAAACGTTTTTTGACAAACTCTAAAGATTTATGAAAATGGCTCTACCGATGTTTGAATTCTTGCATTAATTTTTCAAACACTTGTATTTGAGATAGTAAGTTCAAGTGAAAGGTTATTATAGATATATGTTTAATATGAAGAGGATTTATGAAGATATTTGAGTCGATCGCCTTATATCTTTTTATTGGATTTTTCTTATCTCAGTTCATTTAATTCGATAGTGATTAAATATTGAATATCGGATAGAAATAGAAACCAAGTCTCTCGAGTTCTTTAGTTATGAACCACTTGTTGGTTTGTCTTTTTCTTAATACATACCTATAGTAAACATGCGTAGAGACTATTAGTGTACCCAATATAATCGACGTGCCTCGAATAAAAACCTGCAAGTAAAGTGGACGTATTTAGATGTCGAGTCATGTAGAAATATTCCATATTAAATATCATCTTTTCACGATGGTTATAATGAAAGATGTTGATCGACCCATGTGTTGTATTGTAAGTATAACGGCTAAATGTAACGAAAAACCCTAATTTCTATGACACTTCATATAGTGTGCTCCCTGCTAACTTCTTCGGTGTAGTTTCAGCTTTACAAGTTTTATAATTATGGTAATAACATGTACTTTACATGAATTCCTTATATAGTATAGTGACTCTCATCAGGGGTATACATTATCAAACATGTACACCAGTTTTGTTTGGAATACCTTATTGTTCAGTGAATGATTTCAAAGTTTCTAAGGATTAATGTTGAATTTGAATATATTTATTTACTGATCTGGTCAAATTGTATATATAGATGAGAAAATGTCAATAGTGTGTGTACTTTAATCATGGGAAATGTATGCAAAAATCACGGAAGGTTATATGAGAAACATTCCGTTAAAAAATAAATGGCCCGTGTGTGAAACTGAACGGATGTTTGGATTTTTATATGATGTGTTTGAGACTCAGTAATAGCATGCGGGTATTGTACAATTATTTAACAGCGATTGTAAAAGCACAGGTGCATAACCCGTATAGATGTGTATTCACCCATGAATTGATCCGTTGGGTTAGTATATTGCAATTTTTTCTTAATCTTGTGGTATAGCTGACAGCATTTTACTCTCGTCTGTTAATACCTATCAGAGCATATGTTTATAATATACTCAAGGTAATTAATATAAATAAGATCAGGACGAGTCCCCTGAGTTTCGTCTACTAAACAACACAATTTTTAAGACCATATATATTATAGTTCTCTCAGATGAATAAAGATGGCAGCGTGAAATCTCAAATTATAAATTTTGAATCGACATATAACTTGCGTTGGAATTGGTTCTGCAGTGTTTTGATATACTATATGATTGACGTTTAATTTGGTTTATTAGCTTTTAAAAACTTGTCCTTAAATGCCATGAATAATGAAGGTTCGAAATACATCCATAACCACATACATTAAATCTATAGGAATGGCGTAGATACAGGTAAATATTTCACGCGATTGCAGAAAAATTACCGAATGTATATATATAGATTTAGTAAATGTGGTTTGTACATAAAAAAAACTGTTGCTACTATACTGTGCTCTGTGTGTTTTTAATTAAATTAATAAGATTGTGCAACGATTTGAGTTGCATCCTCTTCCATTGTTATGTCACAAGAAACAGCTTATACATAGGCATAATCTGTAAACTTAAATCTCAGGATTTATAATACGAGTTCTGGTGTAAATAAGAAGTTTAAGACAAATTTCTTGATAACATTATAAAGTATGTACATGATATATATAATGGAAATGGGCTTACCGAATATTTTCTCTGTCTTTTTTTTTAACAAGATGTCGTATATCACGTAAAAATACTTCAATAATTTGGTGGAAACTTTTAAAGCGACTATCCATAGCCAAAATTGGATATATATGTAGCCTTGTCATTTATATAAGTAAGTTCTAAGAATGAAATATATTTATTATAGTCAGTAATCCATAATGCACATATGTCAATACGGCGACTGTTTAAATATTTAGTTAGAGTTATTAGATAAACTTGAACTTAGAAATCCTTTCATTTTAAGACCAATAATGATCTCACCTATGTATTCAGTGAAGTATTATTAGAGGAAAGATAATTATACCTATATTTTTACGTATTGACATCGAGCTTTCATACACAAGGTTGTCTATGATATGGTAAGTACATAACTTTATTGGTAACATGTAGTTTGACTTTATATGCCTGAATTAGTATATTGAATATAAAAATTAAAATAAACGTACATATATAGGAATATATAATTAAAATGATATACATGTATATATAGATTGACATATATATCATTACTGCTTTTAACAATTTAATGTGTTAAATGCCCATGCTATCTGGTTTGATCACCGACTCGTTCAAGTACCAGCCAAGTATGTGTGTGTTCAACTGACAATATACCGTGAGAAAAACTCCGCTCGGATAAACATAACATTTAAATATTTTAAAACAATTTAAATTTCTCTATCTAAATAGCTTTCAATCTATACTGATGCTGTATTTATGCTGACTTAAAAAAAACAGAACCTGATTTGTTAAATATATACAGCTGTAATATGCGATATTTCTGATTAAATAATTTATAACACGATATTATATTAGATTTACAAACATTTTCCATCTAAGCTTTTAAGACCTCTTATAACAGGTTTGCTCTATATCCATGTTTTGTTTCTCATTTTAGAATTCTAGTATGTAATGTAATACAATATGTACAGTTATTTACTATTTCTAATATAGACCATATTGATTTTGCTAATAACATATGTATACTATTAATAGGTACACGGGTATATAAAACCCCGTTTATCACTGGTAAGCATATATATATATAGATGTATGACAGCCAATTAATTCAGGCTTAATATAACTATCGAAACAGTTACCTGATACATAAAAGCGCAGAAAGCCTCTTATTGTCGCAGAGAATAGAGTATTAATACATAGGTATGTGAATATCTGTTATTTATGGATATATAGTGAATATATTTGTATTAGCTATTCTTGTAATAATATTTGTGGCATATAGATTTACTATATTGCATGTAGTATATAGGTAATACATAATATAATAATTAATAATTAACAATAATAATTAACAGTGTTGGCATGTATTACAACCATCACATTCTGAATTACATACCATGTATACTGAAGAACCCCAATTCGATGGAACTAGCGAATTTTTAATTTTGTTTTCTGTATCCATTATATTCCTGAAGCAATGGCTACGCTTATTATCTACTCGTTAACCATCGCTACGCTTGCTATGGAAAAGGTGGCGTTTTTGATTAATTAGGATCCCCTGATCCTGGTTCCTACAAACAAACGAAATCTTATATCCGGTGTGTATTTTGTTACGACTTGATCCAGTCTTCTAGAAATATTTTAGAGACTGTATCAAGTTATAGTCGCAATTTCTTTGCCAGTGCTAGTCACGTTGAAATTAATTTTATCTGATGAGTAATGGTTAACAAGCTGATGTTGCTCGTTACCATTGCTGTAGGATATAATATGTATCCATAAAATAGTCCCCTATAACGTGGGTGTGCCTCCCTGTCTTACCATAATAGACAATGTATAGGGTAATTGTAAAACAAAACATGGAAAGAAGTAAAGGGACAGGAAGACAGTAGATTTAAATTGGCAAAATAGAAAAAAATCAAGAACATATACACCTATTCCTTATTTATTTATAAATAAGTAGTTCTGTCATGTAAAACAAATATATAATTTAAGTTGAATAGTAAATTGGCCACGTTTATCTGGTTCGCTTCACATTATGTATACTTTTCTTAATAAAACCCGTTCTCTGAACCTAATAATGACCCCTCTCGTTTTGGTTAACCTCCATTTATAGTGTAACAATTTAAACTTGGCTATTTACGGACTCGTTTTAATCCGTTTTAAACATTTAGCACACAATATTGTCAATACTGGCCTATAGCGATGTTATTTTTTCTTTGGGAGCTCGACAAACGGGTCTTGGTCTGAAGCTTATTTTTTTTATAAACAGAATTAAAATTGTCGGTAAAATCCAATGTCAACGGTTAACAAGATGTACTCCGCCTTCTTTCTGTGATAATATTTGTGACAATCTTGTCTCATTTAACTTGAGGAATGCTGGTGGAATTCTCTTTTTGTCTAGTCTGTTTCTCGCTGTAGGTTAAAATGTGTTTAGATGTTCGTTTCGTGGATTTCATCAAATTCTTCAAATTTTGAGAATTAAGTGGCTGAATAAAAACGTAGTCTCTTGTATGTGTATTGAATTTTGGAGATGATATTTTTTTGTGAGTCAATTTATTCTGGAAATATATATATATATGTATTTCTTAGTTTAGTTTTATTATAGTGAGGTGGGTCTGTCAACAATATTTAATATTTTCGATAAAACTTTCATCTTATACAGTTTGTCTTATCTCTTTCAGGTAAAACATCACTCAAAATACTAGAAGATGGATCTCAAAAAGTTTAAATGACGCAAGCTCCTCGATGTTGCGATATAAATATGTGCCTAAACAGGCAGAGGAGAAGAAATCTGATCAGACCGTCCAGGACTTTCAGGAATTACAAGGACAGCAAGAGACGGTGGAACACGTCGGGGGAATATTTGAAAATAGCATGTACGCGCGGAGAGGCTCGAGCGATAGGGTGGTGATTGGAAACAGTAATGGTTTGTGTGCTAGTCAAAATGGGAACTCACGAATTCTTCGACAGAATTACAATATCGGGGTTCTTAACGGAGTACCGGGTGATAATAGAACTGCCCTGCTTGAATCAGGAATTACAGACAGATCTGGGACGGGTGTTTTCAAAGTGGATCCAAATGTGTCAAAATTCAGTCATAACACTCCCATAAGATCGGCCAGTGCAGTTGGTAAAACTTCGCCGACTGTTTTGAATGGAAATATAGCAACACCAAGCACGAAAGCAGGGGTTGGTAAAGTTATTCAGAAGTTTGGAAATGGCTTACGTAAGTTAGGATATGGTCGTAGTGCAAGCTCTCTAACATCGCTAACTCATGTCGTTGAAACCTCCACGTCTCCCATATCTTCTCCGCCAGAAAGACCAGTGTCTCTATCTCCCCCTCCAAGGATAGTTGTTTCGCCGCCGGTGGAGAATAATATACGCCAACGGACATGGAGTACAGATGAGGAGGATTCCACTGAACACACCGGTAAGTATGGAAGATAAGAACATTGAGTAAATACCACTTTCATTGGTCGTAAAGATCACCACATGCACAGACATGCATTTGGTTGTTAAACTTGCTTATAATTTCTGGTTTTTCTGGCATTTATTCACATGTCAGCAAGCACATACTCAATAACGAATTCCCTAAACCATCGGGTGGCTTAGATGTTGGGTGGGTTAGACTAATACCCTCCTTATCTGCAGTAAACGCTAATATGGCTATACTGTCGATAAAAGGGCTGGATGTGTTTATTATAATGGCATTGGTACTAGACAATCGAGAATTATGAACTGTGGGCGGAGTTGCCATCTGTCGTGACCATTTCTTGTCAAAACTACAAACATTCATAACTTCGCTCATAAAAAAGTAATTAAAAATTTTCAAAATAAATGAAGTTTTCATTATAATGTATCTTTAACTTTTTTCTTTCTTCTTTTTTTGGTCATGGTATAGTCTTTTTCGGCCCCTGATAGACTGGCTTGATCAATGATATGCTCTTTAATATCTGTGATTTCCTTATGTTTGTCTCGATGAGATTATTTCAGCTTGTCAGGTTTTGTGTATGTGTATCACTCTTGAGTTATAAATTTGTGCTATCTGGCTTTACATCTAGGATAGAATGACCAAGAGATTTTTACCATCAGTTGCAATAGTTCAATACCATTTGACTCGTGTAAAATACGATAGAAATTCTTGGGGATCTAATGATGTAATTGTTTGTGATGGTTGTCGTACACGGGGCAGGCTATAATTACTAGATAGCATGTCTCGTTTTGAGTTTTATTTTGAACCCGGGGTTATCTTAAACCCTCTTTGGAACCAAGAATATCGCATCCCGTCTGCACCTTGTCTGTCGCGTATAATCAATTGATAATGGGGGGAATTCGGTCCTTAAATTTCAGATCTCTACCTGAACTTTACACTTTTTGGCCTGTAATGCAGACAAACCTCTTTCAATGTGACCAAAATATTACATAATATACTGTTTCCATGTGTACAGTTTTTTGCCAGGTCTGCTAGAATATTTCGGGGTTTTCTTGCCGACGTGCCCTTATTCTCAGGGAGGTATATTAATAAGAAATATCTCTGAAATTATTTAACGCTTCGCATAAATCATCGTCTTGGTGTTGAACGGTGAAATTTAGAACAATAGTCTTTTTCGTCGCGTAAGGCGACATATCGGTCTATATTGGCTGATAAAATTCGTAAGAAAGTCGTTAAGTCCTTCAGGTAAGCTGTGTGTGATCGTAATCCTGAACCTGCTAATGAAATAATCTCATTGTTGATTTGGTCTTGATTTGGTTTCTTTTTCTCGGCTTTCAAACTTAATTATTGGGCGTTTAAAAATGTTGACAGGGGCAATTAACACACCTTCCGTATTGTCTGTACGTAAATGGGTATATCTTTTGTCCAAAATTAAATTTTAAAGTCGCTTTTGTCTTCCCTGCAAACCTGTTATTGACAACAAAGACACTGGCCGCCGTTGTTTACACAGACAATTGATTGATTGAATCAGAAAAGAGAAACTGATTATACCTTTATTTACTTAAATCATAAAAGGAATGAAGAATCCAACGTTATATTACGGGTTTCGTAAGATAGACACATGGGCTAAATAAAAATGAAGTTTTATTCCAAGTGTATTTTGAGTCGAAATATAGAAAGGATAGTAAAATAAAAAATATCTCATGTTTCAGCCACCGTATCATGAAGGACTCTAAGCTTCGATAAAGTAATATATTACATATCTTATTGTTTTATTGTCAATTTATACAAATTTGTCTGCTCAGGAAAATTTGTTTCCTTTCCTTCTTAAAAAAACGTCTAAAAATAGTTCTCTCTAAGCAAATATGGCATCTTGTGAAATTGCCCATGTACAGTTATCGCTTATACGTCATCACAATATTTACTTTTCAACAGTGTTGCATGTTTGACCCAATTTCCTTTGACGATCCACCAAAACCGAAATTCGTGCCACGTGACGTTATCACTGATTGACCAATCAAATTCGTGTGAAGGTGATTTCCGGCTGAACGGCCGTCCATGTTGAACCGCTCAAAACAAACTTTGTGATGAGAAAACTGTATGAGGCTGCGAAATACTAGTAAATATCTCATGCTACACGGGTTTTTTGGATGGAAATGAAGGTGCAACAGTAAATGGAAGGTAATTGTCTATCTATTTAGACATATACGACACGGATTAATCGACAGTACCCCGAGACAGACGTGATGACGATGTCAGACAGGTGCCCGTTTTCCTGTTCATTTTTTTGATTTTTATTGTTTGAACTTAAAGAAAAGGCGTTCTGTTTTTTCTTTACTACGCCATTTGTGAATTATTGTCTGTATGTGTAGGATTAAATTGAAACACATTTAGCTTACATCAATTGATTGTAATGGACCCTAGCTCTTGAATTCACAGAAAAAATTTTGTGTAAGAAATTTTCCGACCACGGCACAGTGAATAAAATCATTCATTGAATTTCATTAATACATCCTCTTTTCAGAAGGTAGATAAGGGCAGTCCATATTAAAATTGAAAACTGATGTAAATCATAATTTAGGCAGGATAATGTAGACATTATCAAATAGTTTATTAGTTCAGCTCTGAACGTAGGTCTTACTACACTCGCCCTGTAGGTTCAGGAACCGTCCTATTAGTATTATATGTAACCTGGGCAAGCATTTACTGCTAAACGGTTAGTCTCTCTGAACGCCTGAACAATGTAAAGGAACATTTTAGCGAGAAAATAAGACCTTGCTTACCTTGCTAGAGTCAGTATGTGCAACACAACATGCTGTTAACAATATGTTCCCTTCTGCTAAACAGCTTGGCAGAAGCCTTGCCATTGAAATTTAAATATAGGGTAACGCACAAATTAATGTAATGCAGCCATACATGTATATGACGGACCAAAAATTAGCTATGCTGGGGGAAACAAATTCAGTCATTTATTGCTTTGCCTAGCCCAATTACTATAAAAACTTTTTCAATTTTGTTTCACCTGCTTACCTAAATTTCGTTGCATCTTATATCTAAATATAGCCTAGGGTAACACACAAATTTACGTAACTAGGCCATATATGACGAAACGAAAGTTAGGTAAGTTGATGGGGGGGGATTGGAGTTTTTCTTGACACTTCTGGTTTTCTACCACTTCTAAAGACCCCTACGCCCACCAAGTTATTGATATGAAATCCACCAGACTCGAAATTTGTGCCATGTGAATGATGTGATGTTTTCACAGATAAACCAAATTCAAGTAACTTAGTTTGTGTCGAGTGGACGTGGAGCATCTGAAGCTTTATAGTTTGGGTTTTACAAAATGCATATTGGTAGATCATGGCCTATTAGTTACTGATACACCTCATTGACAATTCAAACTATTTGTCTGCTTACATATTTTAATTTAAAAACACAGAATGGGCCATTGCCCTGTATTGGTCCACCTCTCACATTAACTGTATTTCTTGTATAGTGAACAAGGTTGGGGCATATGTTTAGTTCTGTTATGTTAGAAAACAGATTCTGTAATTGCTTTGATTTTATTTTTGCTTTATCTGTTGTAATAGTGATTGACATAGATCACACAGACGATTTGACATTTGAATGATGTACAGCAAGTGAGGTTGATCACATTATTTTATGTGTCTAGCCTTAATCAAAACATTCTTAATCTTATGCTCTCTGTCTGGTCGGCTGCTATAATATATATCTGTGTGTAGGCTGTAACTTATATACTGTTATTAAAGACAACTTCATGAAGATGTACATGCATCTATATCTATCAGGTAATATACCAGAATATGTTCATCATTGGTGTTACCTTTTCTCTACTGTGCATTGAATATCGGTTAAGGTAGGGCAGTCCATGCTAAAATTTAAAACTTATCTTAATCATACAGTAACTTAGAAGCCATTAATCAATATAGTAATTATCAAATAGTTAATAAACCATACCTCCAGAGATAAATCTACGTAATACATGCATGTACATGTACTATATATATTTCATTCATTATGACTAGAGATATGAACATTTTTAGACTCCCAAATACCGGTATTAGCTGAATATTTTCATCACCTCCATTTATAGCCCTTATTGACTGGTGGTTCAAGACTATACAATCCTCTTTTTTCAACCAGTTTACTCCTGCTGTGGAACTCACTGGAAAATTATACAAAAGGCGAGTTTGAGGATTGAATATTTTTCACAATCACAAAAATGCATCTCAGACAGTCGTTTGATTTGGTCAGTTCTTTATTGTAATAGAAATATAAGGCTAAAATATTGTAGTTTGCAAGTGATAACTATAGTGCTAAAATGGTGCATCAGGACTTTTTCTAGAGTGCCTAATTGCTTGGTTTAAGCCTTGAGGAATTTTTATTTTCCTTAAAAATGCAAATCATGTATTGTCACTTTAAGAATTTTAACATTGAAGCACAGGTTTTAATTTCTTTTTCAAATTGTGTTCCTCATCAATCCTCAGTCACTGTGACTTGAGAAGAATTTCTTTTTATTACTAGAATATTATAAAGTAGACACTTGTTATGGATGACCTATTTCTTCAGTTAAGTTATATCAATATAAAGATATGTCACCTGATGATAATAATAAATATTCCGTTGATGATAATGTTAAGACCCAGACTTTATCAATCATTATTTTGAGCATAATTATCACCCTAATATACAGTAAAACAAGACGGTTATGTTATTACTAATAAGTATTATGAGTTACATGTAGCTTAATATTGATATAGTTTTATTATTAATATTTAATGACGTAACTAAGTTATAATTTTATGGACATCTAAGTAAGTAACCCATTTTCATTACACAGTACATTTGACTCTTATTGTATATTTTTATTGAGCAAGTGTGTGTTTATGTTATTATTCATCATAATCAATAATATTATTATTATTATTATGTCTAGTAGAGGTTCTTATCTTTGCAAGCACATTGCTAATTCTTGTATCATTGTTTTGGACAGTAAGACTAAGTTCTAATTTTCAACTTAAGATCAAGGTACATGTTTTTTGTATGTGAATTTTTCTATTTCAAAAGTGAGATTGTCATAAGTTTATTATCTAATCTTTAGAAGGACAGTGAAATTTTTTAGGTCAAATCACTTGATAAGAGTTGATATTCTATTACAGTATACAAATGCATCAGCAGATCCTAATAATTTTGCATAGATAACTGTAGATGTACATGTACATGTGTACAGTGTCTATTACACAAGGTACATGTAGATGACATGTATGACATTGTCTGCATAGTTTTTGGCACACTTGTGAACAGGATTAAGATCTCGCCTACAAAACTGTGTACAATGTTTGTTTACCGTTATTGACAAAATGAAACCTACAGTGAAAATTACAACATGATACATGTACAAGTGTGACGGTAGTATTTACATCCCGGGAGGGAGTAGCTGTGTACCAGTATAGATTTGCATGTAAAGAATAGTAATCAGGCCATGTTGGTATGTTTCTTTTAAAAAGCCAATCTACTGATGATACATGTATACATTGTGTTTCTCGTCGGTTGTATTTATTCTGACTTAACTCTGTCCTATAGCAATTTATATGTATATTTGAAACCACTACTCTTTATGCGAAGTCTGTTGTATATGTGATGAATATGTTTGAGATTATTGTTTTGATCAGGAAAACTAATCTGACTATTTAACTGTTTTTCAGACATCACCATGCATCCGCAACAACAGATGAGACGTAGAAAGAAGAGACCTATGCATGGTGTAAAGACAGTTCAAGTGTCAAGAGGAAAATCTGGTTATGGTTTTACAATATCTGGTCAACATCCGTGTGTCTTAAGTTGTATTGTTAATGGTAGTCCTGCAGAACAGATGGGACTCAAACCTGGTGACTATGTAATGTCTGTAAATGGTGAAAATGTGTCCCGATCAAGTCACGATTCGGTTGTAAGAATGGTAGGATTATCAACTGGAACATTAGAACTACAAGTAGCTGAAAATTTAAACGATTCTGATTCATCGGAGGAGGATTATCATCCTCGTCTGAAATCACGTTTTCCTAATAGAGTCCGCCCGCGACAGCCAAAAAACTTACCCCCTAAAGCCCCAGATAGTCACCGATCTCATAATAGTAAATTAGAAACCAAGGGGACCAATTGCAGGTTGAATGTGCAAGGAACCGAAGGCGGAGCTTATGGCAAGGAAAATTCTCACAATGGATCCAGTAACGGCGCCAGATTAAAAACTTCCTACTCCAGCCAATCATTAAAAAGTGTTAGCTCTGCTTCAACGATGCAGAACTCTCTGTCAAATTCTCATGCTCACCATGTGTCTCAGAACTCTTTATCTTATGTGTCTTATCATTCATTGAACTCACAGCATTCTTACGCTAGTAACAGCTCTCATTCTAACTTAGTGCATAATTCGCACTCAAACCTCACGCAAAGTTCTCGCTCAAATTCATCACATCACTCTCACTCTCAACCTAACCTTAATCTCCATGGTGATCGAAGTGGACATACACGTAATAGATATTATGAAGATATGAACTCTGTTGCCCTGGCTTACAATATACCAGCTGGTCACCTACCATCTGACAGTATAAATAGTGATAACAGCGAAAATTCTGGTGTATTTAACGAATACGGAGATGTCCGAGCAGTAGTAGGTTATATAGGTTCTATAGAAATGCCAAGTGATGCTAATAGACCCCATCAACGATTACAATCACTAAGGAATGCTGTCCGACGTCTTCGAATAGAGAAAAAGATTCATACGTTAGTGCTAATGGATGTTCATTCCGATGGTGTAGGACTAACCAATACAGGTGGTAAAATAATAGCACAATATCCCGCTGACAAACTTGCATTTAGCGGTGTTTGCCCAGACGATAAAAGATTTTTTGGAATTGTGACACTTCATGATCATTCAGATGATGTCAGCGAATTCAGTGGTAGGCATGAGAATGTAGGAACAGCCAGTTCTTGTCATATTTTTATGGTGGATCCTGAGCTTCGATCACACAGTATGCATGCTCAAAAAGCTAAGTCTTTCTCTATACAGTGTACTGTAGATCATGATACATTGAGTTGTTTAGAATTTCCTCGATCATCCACACATATTATTCTAGCCGTTGCTAATTTATACAAAGACCGGCAAGGTGATGGTTATGAAAACGAAATTATTCGATCACAAGCTTTCGCTAATCCTGCTCGTCCTGCTCAACGAAGTTCCAGTAATTCTTCAAATAGTGACAGCGGATTAGGATTTGGTAAAGATGACAATGCTAATGAACGCGGTTTTATTGTCGATATGGCTGTGGAGGAACCAGTTCAACCAAGACCTAGTGCTATTGGTGCCAGGGGAAGTAACCCTGCTATTCATCATTTATCTCCAGAAGTGCAGACCATTCCTTCTTCAAGATCTAATTTCAAAAGACCGGGTTCAGCTTTTGAATTAAGACGGCAGATGAACAATTCCACAAGTAGCGAAGAATGTTGGCAAGGCAACAGCAGTTCGAACAAACTTAATCCCAGAGCTATGCCTAACCCACATAGGTCTTGGAGAAATGATAACCCACAACATCATCATAATAGTGCTGAGAATTTACGTCAGAGTATGAGAAACTTGTTACAACAACGTAAGGGTCCGAATGAAGTTAGTAGTGATGATTCATGTAAAAATGAATTTGTTAAAGGGCAGTTCATTAGTCCAAGGCCTAGGTCCGCACCATTTACACAATTAAACTCTATAAACGATAGAGTTGAAACTGTTGATTTAAACATGGCAAGGTTGAGTCCCCGATCATATTGTCGTAACAAGGCTATGTTGCGATCTCCATCTGCCCCGCCCATACCATACTTTCATCCAGATGATTTTGATGATTCAGATTCAGACAGTGATGAAGATTCAATGGTGAGAAAAGTAATCCAGAGGTTTAACCATGACAAAACACTTCTTCATGAGCAAGATCAAAGACGATTTTCTGAAAGTTTTGCTGTTGCTACAAAAGTGAGTAAAAATCTTTAAAATTACCATGAATAAGTAGGTCAATATTCCTATGATATTTTGGATTCCGCATAAAAAAAAAGATATTTATTTTCATGTCAGTAGGATAGTTTTGTTGATCATGTAAGTCATTACATGTACACAAGGCTCTACAATGCGACTGAAACACTTGCATTTGCGGGTGAATTTTGACAATGGCGACCAGATATTTATAAATGCTAGGTTTCTGGCGAGTGAACATATATCTTGAAGTCCCCAATTAACACTAGCTATCTGAACTTTTCTCCATAAAGATAACGTAATCGGAAATGATCCCAGTCAAATGTCACTCTTGTTACTTTCCTGGTTTGAAATTGGGTCAATCTCATTGTCCTCTGCGAAGAAATTCTCATTGCGCATGCGCTGTATTTATCGAAAGTTTGCGAGACAGCTGACAGCATGGCTAGCAGACGAATCAAACCTATATCGTCTTACTTTACTAGTAAAGTAACTTCGTCTCGCAGTGAGTCTCAGTTGGGGAAAAATGATGATAGTCATGCTACTGACGCTACACCACCCAAACAAGCAAAATTACAAGCTTCGCCGACCGCCGTCTTAGTCTCGCAGTGAGTCCCAGTCGGAAAAAATGTTTAAAACATCTTTTTTTATTATTATTATAGGACGACGAGTTATGTATGTTCACAATATAATTTAGCTATATCATACGACAAATTATTCTAAACTTCAGACTTTGCAACTGAAAATTCCAAATGACTCAATGGTCTGAGCTGAAACTATCGGAGTACATGTAAATTGTAACCGGACTACATGTATTTCTTTTTGTCTATTGATTTCAATACTTAATTTATACCAGCTTAGATTGATATCAACATGTCATATGTACCAAGAAATATCTGGGACTGCTCAGGATTTTAGACATTTTGTTTGCCACTTCATGCAGGATCCACTTTGTTTTTCATGTTTTAAATTGGAGTTATCTCCCTTAAGTAAACAAATTGTTAAACCTTTGTCAATGTTGAAAGTAAAAGCAGATCTACATGGGGTCTTTGATTCAATAAACCGCAAACTTTGTACAGCACACTGTCAGTTCATGTTCATGAGACGAAAAAGTTGATTGATTATCAATGATTTCCGATAATTGTCCTTTGAAATATCTTGTGGACTCTCCAGTGTTTATACTGTATGTAAATGTATGTTCATCTAAGACACATAAAATCTGTTTGTTTTTCAACTAATATTCTATAATTTGGCCAGTTAAAAACCATCTAATTATTGGTACATGTTAGTTTATGTTGGCACTTTGAAATAGCCCAATTTTTAATTGTCTGATGATTACATGTACATGTACTTCATTGGTTGTTGCCTTCGCTCAGGTTTTTTACAGCCACATGTTGGTGTATATTGTCGTGCTGTATCATAAAGCCTGTCATTGAGTCAACTGGCGTGGTTCGAATCCCCGGTTGTACGTGACAAGGAGTAGGGTCGCCTATCCAACCTCATTTGCTTTCTCCAGGTCCTCAGGTTTCCTTCCACTGCTAAAGACCCCTACGCGCAAGCGAATTATTGAAGTTAAATTAAACACTACATGTGTATAGGATGGATTTATGATTTGATCTTTTAAAGATTTATTTAGTTTACTTTTGCGAGATGAAAAAGACTTGAATATCAACAATTTCTGATAATAATGTCCCAAGTTATTTCCTTGATGAATTTGTAGAATCTTGTGAACAACACAAGTTGATATTGATTTTACTTGACATTTTTATGTCTTGTTTAATAGTAAGGGCAGACAAAGAATCATATTTCAACAGTTAACATTAAATACTTCTAGACTTAGACTTCTTGTTCACTTTATAAAAATTGGCGACAAATGTTATGGTCAGATCACTATAAATTAACAAGAACGAAAAAAACTTATTGAATTTAACAAATTAACTTTTATTACGCCCAGAATAATGGCACTTGCCTGTTAATTTGTGAAATAAAGAATACTATCAATGTTCAAGAATTTCTGTAAATAATTTTTAGAGTTGTGGCCCTTGCTAACAGTGTGGAAACTTGCAAACAGCAAAAGTCAACATCTGATCTAAATGAAAGTTATGTTCTTTGTTTTGATTATTGGCATAAATAACAAATTCTGATATTTATAGAGTTATTGCCCTCGATTATATTACAGCATCTTGTCAATATTATATAGTATTAAAGATGCATTCCTACAAAAGTATTAATCGGGGGGTTACATGTATATCTAATAAACGTATGACAATTTTGGTATATATGGAAAGGAGAGACACCCAATCCTATTAGAAAATAGACTGGATTCCCTGAAAAATACCATGGAGCGTGCACATGACAAAAATGTAAGGGTGTCACTAATAGTCAGCGTCCGAGTGACATGTAGAATAGATTGTCTGACCACTTTTCATTAGGGAGCACGGTTTATTTAATACTGTATGTTAATAAACATGAGGGTGAACAAACGTGGAAAAGGTGAGAGACTCAAATGTACTACAAGTGGGCAAGGGATAATCTATAATTTACTTGCTAACAACATCATCTTTTTTTATGCATGAATTCTCCATTGGCTTGGCAGTCTCTGCGACAACAATCTGATTAAAACACAGATCCAATTTCGTTTCATTTTTTATAGTTCAAAATTTCGTTTTTACTTGTCTTTACTACATTTAGATCTGGAAGACTTGTTATTTAACTTGTGTTCTGCTTGAAATGAGGGGTCAACCAATCAAATGGTCTGTCGAATCGAGCGTTTGACCTTTTTTGCTCGGAACTGTGGGTAGACAATACCAGCGATAGAAATCCAAACAAAGCAAAAGTAGATTTTAAAAAGCATGGCGGTCGCTAATTGGTTAATCGAATGACTGACATTATCGGGTCAAATGTCGCTTGCTTGGTACCTGACGTCATAAAACGTGAACTCCCACTATAACTTGTTAGATCTACATGTAGTGTAGGCCATCGAAAGTATAAAAAACGAAATATAAATCTATATTTTAATTAGATTGCCACGACTGCGAACTCACGCGTCACAAACATGGCTTCTTTAACTCGATTTTTTATAGCTTAGGGTACACTGTATTTCCTCGAAAAAACATTGTTTTGAAAGGGATTTGAAGCAAATTTTTGATAGATTAATTAGTTTGAATATGTTTTAGTCCAAATATATCATCAAATCACTCTGTTTGTACATGGAAAGGCATTTTTAAGATTGTGTCTACTTAAAAGTTTCACATTGACACAACCTCTAAGCACACCTTGGACGTCTAAGGTGTAGTGAGTGTGCATTTTGTTTGTTGCCTGACAACCTATCTTGTAAAGAGGGTTGGGGGAATCGTGGTCAATTACTTACACCTACAAAAGAATGAAAATGCAACTTACATGCTTTGTGCATGTGTGTTTTTTTTTTTTGCCTGACAACCAATCTATGTGCTGGAAATAGACCAAATCATACAAGATCAGAGGATAAAATGTAATTTGTGTGAACATTGTAATGTCTAGATGACAGATACATGTATAATTTAAGGTGGTAAATAGCTTTGATCAGTAGTTCGGATGTTATCAATTTGCCACTAGCAATGAAGTCATTAATAAGATGTACAAGTTTTGGCATACTGGTTCAACTGACAAATAAGACCCCATAAGTTGGAGATTAGGGTACATGTTGTGTATGTTTCTGCATATGATTAACTGTTTCCCTGGAATTTTAAAATCATCAAACTGGGTTACAAGATTAAAAGTGAAAAATGATATAAGAAATTGATGTGAATAATCTTTTGACTGTAAAATGTTTGGATATTAGTAAATGTAGAATGTACAAATGTAGATGAAAAGATTATATCAAAAAAGGTTGTTTAGATTTGGTGACTAGTTAAACTTGTATTTCCTGTCTTTACAAACTATGAATAAAATCACATGATAAATAATAAAGAGACACAAGGCCTACAAAAAATATGTTATGATTCATTACATATATCTTGTACATACATGTATAACACCATATCCATATCATATACATGTATTAACAAATGATGATCGGCCATTATATTTCTAGAATCAAACTTATAACAAAGACTATATTTTTTTTTTAACAACTTGTCACAATTTTTTTTTTCTGGGTGTAATATCCCTTTGTTCAATTTTAAAATGCATTATGTATTTTCTGTAAATAGGATCAAGTTTATGTTAGAAAGTTGTGTTAAATTGTGTGCTTTTCAAATGACTGTATAATAATAAGACTTGGGAGTAAAGGTTAAATAAACCTTTAACTATGTTTAGAAGCTGTCTGTAGTAGTCACTATTTAAATGCTCAACATTCTATAAGGTTGATGATAAATTTGACACCTTAAACCGTTTTAGCTGTACCTTGTGTTCATTACCTTTGTACTGATATTGATGATGTCAACCTTTATACAGATAACGTCATGTATGGAAGAACACATTATGGCTCACAGGTATATTTATTTATATTGTTGATGAAAATGCATTCACAATGAAATCTAGATATTTTCCATCATGTTCTCCAAAACTGATATTGAGTGCGTAAAAAAGCGGGAAAGATATGTATCTCCATTATTGCAGAAATATCTATAATCCAGACAAGTCACATTTACATGTACGTACATGTATATTAGGCCTGGAAATGGACATGCATGTACAGGTTTTGCTGCCCAAAGTTAATAATAATCTCCTCAATTTTTAAAATATTAAACAATTATTACCGGTATATTACTTGAGTAATATTAATTAGCTGTAGCCTTGATTAGAATTAGAATCTGTATTATTTAATAAACATTCTACATTGTAGATTTATTATTACCTATCAACTCTCCAGACAGTCTGTCTCCTATATTTAACTTACTTTAAATTGAGCAGTGTTAGCTTTACAAATCATCAGAATTTTACAGGTTTTATGGATTAATTATTATCTATTAATACTTCCAGACAGATTGTCTGCTGGACTGATTTGAGTAAGGCTAGCTTTCCAA